GTGGTGCGGGTGCAGGAATGGAGAAATGGGGTGGGGGTCACCCTGTGGGTCGTTGTCCCAGCCTGGATGCCACCCAATCCGCTAACATTGTTATAAAAGTGCAAACAAATACATGGCCAACAGGCGAAGAGCGAAAAGAAAAAAATAAATAGGAGAAGCGGAAGAAGAAGAAACGAAATTAACTTCGGTCGAGCTTGACCCATGGCACTCAACCCATGACTTGGCCCAGACTTGAGATGCAGCAGCGAGACAGAGAGACACCCAGAGAGACAGAGAGAGCAAGAGAGAGAGAGAGAGGGAGGGAGGGAGAGAGTGAGAGTAACGGCGAGAAATTATGAAGCTGAAGCTGAAGCCAACGAGGCACGGGGACGAAAACGAAGAAAACGGATGACGACGACGGTGATGTGGCATTGGGGATGGGAAAGGGAATGGCGTCGCCGACCTGTGGCCGCTGGCAAAAAAGAAAAAACAAAAAAAAACAAAACAAAAGACAAAAAAATAAGAAAAATATAGAGAAAAAAATGAGAAACCATGTGGTCCGCTGGCTGGGCAAATAAATCGCTGGACATAAAAACCGAGCGCAAGCGAAACAGAAAATCACCTAAATGGGAGCCAAGGCCCCCGCCCCACCGTTGCCCCCATGTGGAACAGAGCGAGAGCGAGAGCACCACCGAGCACCGTCGGCACAAATAAAAAATTGAATGAAATATTTTTATAACCAAAAGAAAAGGCACAGACAAAGACAAAGAGAGCGAAAAGGAGAGCGACAGCGAGAGAGAGAGAGAGAGAGGGAAAAGTCAGCTACACACACACAGCAAGAGCGAGTGCAAGCGAGAGGGGTGGAGAGGAGAGACGCAGAGAGAGAGAGAGAGAGAGAGATAGAGAGAGAGAGAGAGAGCATGGCAGCGACGGATATTGATGGCGTGCAACAGTAAAAGCAAGAAAAAAAAAAAACAAAAAGGAAGAAAGAAAAACTTGCTTATCAAATATGAAGGAGCGCACAAAAGTGAGTCGCTCCTCCTCGATAAATGTGTGTGCGAGTGTGTGTGTGTGTGTGTGTGTGTGTGTGTGTGTGTGTGTGTGTGTGAGGGGTATCATAAAAGCCATGAGCTCACCTAGCATAAGGCTGAGCAGACCGCACCTAAGGGTAGTTAAGTCCAAAGTTTTATGGACAACGACAGGTGGGCGGTTGGGCAGTTGGGCGATGGGTGGGTCAACTGACCCAACTAAACCACCCAAAGAGCGACCCACACCCATGTAACTTACAAGCGAATGTATTCTTTTATTATTATTTTTTTTTTTTTGGTAGTAATAAAATGGTGTGTGTGTGTGTGTGGGTGTGTGTGGGTGTGGGTGTGTAACTGGGTACAGCTGGGAGGCTGCACACGTGCGAATAATAAAAAATGTTTTACTTTTCAATCGACCAAGAATATGGCGTTCAATGGACAGGCCAAAACGTGCGCAACCCACAACTCGTAACAATGACCAGCACGAACAGAGATACAGATACAGATACAGACACAGACACAGATATAGGATATACGATACAGATACAAGCTTACACACGTACACACCCAGAGACAGACTCACACACACACACACAGTTCGTTCAATCATCGTTACAAAAAAATTTCATTTTGAAAAATGCTAGAGCTTCAATAAATTATATTGCTTGGCCAGCAACACAAAAAGAAAAGAAAAAAAAAAGAAACCCAAGCGCATCGTAAAAAAATGGTTTCGCTGGCAGGTGACCTCAGCGGAAGGGTTGGGGGCATGCGGGTGGCAAGTGGGTTCATTTTGGGGTGGGGCTCCAGCCAAGTTTGTGGCTCGACTTGCTGGCACCTTCACTATCATAACAACAATACACAGAAAACGCAGAAGAAGTTCGCAGAGGGGTGTGGGAGGGGTGAGGGGGGTGGGTGGTATATAAAATTCACAGAATAACATGGCGGACAGGTGAATCTGGTCTGCAAAAGGAAGCAGCAACAAACGGTCAGTTATTGTACAACCACACACATTCTCTCACACTCTCTGGCCATTCACACACACAGATTCTCACACTTGCTGCCGATACACACAGAGTGGCAGCAAACAAAAAGAAAAAAGAAAAAAGGTTGAGACTGCAACTGAGACTGGAGATGGAGCTTAGAGTCTGGATTTGAGCCGTTGCCACAGAATGAGGACCAGGACAAGCCAATGGCGAGCTGAAACACACTGTCCGCTCGATGGTTATTGGTTCGCGTTGCAATAATATAATATACACACACTGTTGCAAGCACACACACACACACACACTTACTTATATAGAATATAAAAATTGAGAAATAAAAAATAACACAGGGGAAATAGAAGTAAGAATGCTCGATGCGAATTCACCCAGCAGCCAAGTTGCAGTTATTAAGCAGCTATAGATTTCTTCGAAAATTTCAGTGAGTCTGTGTAAGTTGATTTCGATATCACATACATTTGCACAGCTTGATTAAAATTCCCCCCAACCATTTATATTGGTTACAGGGTATGCCGGGGGCAGGAATAGAAAACTCTGCTGTGCGAAAGAAAAAATGGTAAAATAAGGAAGGGGAATTATTCAACTGGGTAGCAAAATTGTTCTCAACTTTGTAGCAGCTTTTTTTCTGTGTGATTTTCCTTAGCAAGGGGGTGCACCACCCCCCACCCCTCTCCCACTATTCCACCCGCGCCAGTTGACATTGTCATAATGACGGGCATTCCCGAACGTTGCACTTGGATATTGATTGCAGTTTCTTTTGTGTCTGCATTTTGCCCAACACCTGATACCTGAAAATTCGCTAATTAAGTCGCCAACTGAAATGCGGAAAACAAATTTTACTTGAATATTGAAATTAATGCTTACAAATGGTAAAAACCAAAAAAAAACAAATGTTTTTAAAAACGTGAAGTAAAAATATTCAAAACTGATTCAAGATTCAACAGTTCAAATTAAACGAACCTTTTTTTCTTAATTTAAATAGGCATTTAGCTGCCTTCATGTAAAGGGTTTTAGGTGAGTCCTTTTCAATACAAGAAAATGTCTCCGTTTTATTTTTATTCCCCAATATTATTAAAAAAAACTTTGAATTTTATTTCAAATCACTTTACCTGGAGAATAAATTATTTATTAGTATTTAAAATCATTATATTATTATTTTTACCCCAAACTGAATGGCGTAAGATATTTAAAATTATCTGAGCTGTATTTATACCACATAATATGTGTTAATAACTAGCTATTGTAACTATTGTTGTTCTAAATATTATTTTCAACTGAGCTCTCAAATATATTATATTTATTCAAAAATATATTACATATTTTTAGCCAAATCATATAATGCAAAGTGTTTTTTTGTTTTTATTATTCTAAACTGAACTTTCAAATATATTTATTCAGAAATGTATTGAAATCAAATACATAATACATATACATATATTATTTTAGCCAATTCATCTAATGCACAGTGTCAGCATTTCTTTTTTTATCAAACTCGCTAAAAGCTAATCAGGCAAAACTCGCAAACATTTTTGACAAATTCTGTCAAAGTCACGCGAATTTAGCCCGCGGCATGGGTACGACCGTTACTGGGGCATACAACATTAGCCTGGCCATAACGAGAACTGGCAGACGAGGCTCGCACATGTCACTTTGAATGTCCTAGAGGCGCACATTGGCATTGTCGCCATACATATACCTATCAGTGCACCACGCGGCATCGACAATAAACCCAAATCAGTGGCACAAAAGCCCAAAAAATAAATACATAAAAAAAGTAAAATAGAATTTATCAATTTCCCCAGACAGCTGGGGAAAAAAAACCGAGTGAACGAGTTTGAGGAAATCAGATACTTTGGTTATTTTCTCTGACAAGATGCGCGTCAAACTTTCCAGCCGCAGGCAAAGTAACCAAAAAAAAAAAAAAAACACAACGAAACAACAAAAAATTGTTGCGTGTTTATTTGAAAAATCGCTAAAGGATAACTAAAGGATTCCCCTAAGGGCATTTGGCGAGCACGCAAGTGATTTGTATGCGAATTTACATATACAGCGAGGTTCCAGCTATCGCACACACTCACACACACACACACACAACCCACAAGACACATCCCACTCCCCCCCCTTATTGAAATCCAACTCCCTGGGTATTTTCCAACTCGTTGAGCAGCACCAAAAAAAAGTGAATAAAAAAAAACAGAGTTCTCATCGCTGCCAGAATTCAATGCGTTGTGGCAATAATTTTGCATATTGTGCCATACAAGTAAATGTATCCAAATTGAATCTACTAAATCGATCTCCATGAAAAAGGAAAGCAAGGTGTGTGTGCGTGTTTCCCTTTCAAAGCCCAGAAGCGCTTGCCGCACTTAACGGCGCTAAGTACTAAATTCAATTCAGCTCTGAGACGCCACAAAGACACCACTGACCAAAATAAACGCAAAAGGGAGTCTCATCATCTTCCCCTCTCAGCCAATATGTAATTCAATTTATAAATTACAATTAAAATATAAGAAAAGCAGCAAAATGTATGTATGTGATATACAGATATATATATAAATATATCCCCTCAGCAGGGTTTGGCTAGCCCTAGACAGACAGTGGTCTGTGGCCTTTGCGTCATCATTGCTGAGCCGTGTGTCCAATAAAACTACCCATTTGCTCATTTGGCAATTATCCCGATAAATTAGCAGCCATACAGCCAGCCAAACAGCCAGCCATTACAGGGACTGGCGCAAATCGCACAAGAGGCGAATAAGCGTAAAATAAAGACACACAAACTGCTTGTATTATTTCAATTTAAATACTCTTATCATCTTTAAAAACAAAACAAAAATACTAGAACATTTTTGGAGCTACTAAATCGATAACTTTCCCATACACCATTTACAAAATGCTTCTCAATTAAGAACTCAAAAGTAAAGTAGTAGTAGGCATTGAATTTTATATGACAACTTAGTTTACCAGCTGATAAAATGCTGAGCAAATAAATATTTCATTTCAAATCCATTTTTTGTGACGTTCACAGCTCGGTAAGCATTTTTCCAAAATTATTTAAACAAAAATATAAATGAATTAATGTTTCAAAATCTTATCGTTATAGAAAATGGGAAAAAGGCGAGCTCGACGTCTCAATCAGACTTGCAAGAGACCAAATCTAGCTCAGGAAAACATGGAGCCCGCACCTGAAGTGAAAGATCTCCCCAAAGAGATGAATGTGTGCTTGGACGAGGAGCCAACAAACATAGACGCTGCTGATGATGATCATGATAAGACAAGATTTAATAATTTATTTAATTCGGTAAAAGAATTAAAGAATACGTGTTTGAAAATCATAGAAAGCTTGGGGCAAGAATTGGAAGATGAACGCAAGAAGAATGCGGAATTGGAGAGTATTAATAAGCAACTTCGCGAAGACGATAAGAGACCAACTCCAGCTCAGGAAAACATGGAGCCCGAACCTGAAGTGGAAGATCTCCTCAAAGAGATGAATGTGTGCTTGGACGAGGAGACAACAAACACAGACGCTGCTGATGCAACGGAACTCAATAAGATGTCAACGAATGATAACCTTAATTCGTTAAAGGAATTAAACAATGCGCATATCCAAACCATAGAAAGCTTGGAGCAAATATTGAAAGATGAACGCAAGAAGCATGCGGAATTGGAGAATATTAATAAGCAACTTCGCGAATACAATAATCGGGAAACCTGCTCAGTGTGTTAGTCCGAAACGATCCGCTTTGGGGATCACACACATATTATGATCTAATCTGAATCATTTTATTACTTTCAATATGTTTACAATAATAAACCGCCGAATCGAGTTGAGAATTCAAGCTCAAATGAGTCGAGGTGTAAAGTCGAACTGTCTTTGTTTCTAAAATCATAATCTTATATTTATATTTTTATATTTTAATTATAATCCAATCATGTTCTGAATGCAGTCATGTTCTCAAATAAATTTATAACGACACTCCCAATACTTAATAACAGCAAAGTGCTGAGCAGGGATTTAGACTGTCGAAAAGGGCATGGTCGCATAACGCCTTTTTCTTTCAAGTGTAGAAATTGGATACAATTTGAGCTGAAATAGGACTGAGCCTATTTTGAGAATTCGCAAAGAATCGAATTTTTGTGTACTCATTTATTTAATAAATTATAAACACCTACCAAAATACCTATAAATTAAATGTATTTTCTCTGTAACTTTCTAGTTATGAGACTTTCTAATGATTTTCTAAAATAAGTCCACACATTATTAAATATCTCACCTCCATCTAACCCTATATATATTCACTTAAAGTTATTTTGAGAAACTTGTGTATAAATTGATCACGTAAAAAAATTGATATATTGCTAACATTTTACAAATTACATCTCCAGAAGTTGTTTAATAGTTTCAAATCAAATATTCTCTACAATTAAAGATGTAGTAGGCGGCTTAGAATTTTTGTATGACAGCTTAGTTTATTAGTTAGCAACATGCAGAGCAAATATTTAGTTTCAATTCCTTATTCGAGACATTCACAGCACTTGGTAGATATATTCAAAATATTTTAAAATAAATAAGAAATATTTACAAGACCTTATCAATATAGAAAATGGGCAAATGTCGAACTGCCAAACAGACCCGTAAGAGGCCAACATCCGCTCAGCAAAATATAGATCACATAGCTAGATTGGAAACTCTAATCAAGGAGAAAGATCAACTCGTTGACGAATTGATGGCTCTCACTGAGCAGCCATGTAAGAAAAATGATGATGAGCAAGACTCAACGCAGTTCTTTGAGACAAATTTGAATAACATAATAGATATTGGCATCAAGCTAAGCATAAAGCTGACCGAGATAACTTCACATATGGAAAAACGTATGCAAACCATAAAATCCATGCAGGACCAATTGGAGGAGATGCACAAGGACTCATATCGTAAAACCTGTACGGTATGCCTCTCCGAGACGAGTTTCCTTGGTAAACACCGTCTCGTCTGTCTGCCCTGTGGCCACATCTATGGCAAGAATTGCATTGTCCATTGGCTGGAGCAGCAAAAGAATTGCCCCCAATGCCGAAAACCAAGCCGAGTTAATCAAGTGCGAAACCTGATCTTTCCGAAATAGTATTTTCAAATACTTCTATTGCATATGATCAAATATTCCCTTTCAATTTATAGGTGGCAGAAAGTCGGCACTTTAGGGTTAACAGAAATGAAAAAGGAGAATCGAAACCAGATAGCAAAATTTGAAAGACTGAGAGACACTGGAGGCAATTGAAATTGCCAAAGTAAACGAATGATTTTCAAAAACGAAGCCGTGTTGTGTGTAAAATGCCTTCTAGTTCAATCAATCAATAAACGTACAAAACGCGTATACGCAATGTTGTCCACAGTGCGTCAAAGTAACAAATGAGCACACACACACACACACACACATATATAGACATTCACAGCTCGTTTCGCACTGCTTTTCACAAAATACCGCAAAATCTATTTCGATTCGCAATCAAAATGCCCAACTCCCATTTTGGACGGCAGTAGGCCGCATTTTGTTGTTCCCATTGCTGCAGCCCCAGAAAAACAAAAAGGTGGCCCTGTTGTCTGTTACCGTTACACGTTGCCCGGTTGCCCAGTTGCCCGGCTGTCCGTTGCCCAAGCGGTTAGCTGGCAATCGTGACCAACTTGTGCTTGAGTGCTTTCGTTTGTATTTAGTGGTGGACTTAAAAATACAGAAAACGTCCGCACCCACAAAGGCCGTGGTCAAAATGCGTCCGGCTGGCCCGGGCCCAGACCCGGACCCGGACCAGGACCCGGACCCGGGCCTCCTGACATTCAACGCTAAGCCGCAGTCGCGTTCACATCCTACACATCGAAAAATTGACATTCACCTCATCCACAGCCGCGTCGCGATGTCCATGTCGATGTCCATGTCCTTGTATTCATCAGTTGCCATGTTTTCCAATTTTCAGCACACTGCACTCGGGATTCGGGCGAGAACGCAACAACAAAGAAAAATACTCGTACGGCTTTTTCTCTTCAAAATTTAGTCATCCTATGCGAAATTGCTTACAAACGTTCCACGGATCGAGGTCGAGGCAACGAGGCACCTAAATTGCGTTCCACGTTCCCTATAAACCGCACTCAATCCTGTCCCGCCATGTGTCGACGCGCATCAACTAGCTACGCCCAACACCCACCACCCACACACACCCTTTTCAGCTTTGGCGGTTGCACAACCAAAGTTGGGCCGCGTTTTTGATTGTTCGGGCATTGGCGTAAAAATATTATTGCACTCGCGTAAACCTTCTCCACATGGTCCTACGGAAGAGAAAGAAAAAAAACCCCCGCTGCCACTTATATAGCTTTGGCTGGCCTTTGTGCCCAATTGCATGTTTAGTCGCTTGTAAACTGGGCAGTATCCTCATCAAAATACCAACACACATACAAATTTCCACAGATGTTGCAGCAAACATTAAGCCAACTATGGAATGAGTAATAATATATGTATGTACTTTAGCCAAGGTGTAGTAACTTAACTGCTAAAAGTAAGGCAAACTAAGTTTAATCACCTCTTTAAAAAATATAGTTAGCCCTATATGATGGTATCTGTGCATATATTATATGATATTATAGATTATTAACTCTTCTTTCCAAGAAGTATAATATTGTATGTGTAGTCATTCCCAAATAAATTAGTGAAATTATTGAAGAACGAATTAACAGTGGTTTGCCGACTGCGTTATCAAAATTCAACTATAAACCTCAAATACTAATCGATTGTTAGGAGTAGAATACATATATATTTAGGGAGTTTTGTCTTGGTATGCAATAAAAAGTTATTCATACAGTAACTTATCCATCGACCTATTATTGCTATTGGAGCCATAATGTTGGCTGAGTATAGTCCCTTACTTGAATAAAATTATTTCTCTTCGTAATCCGATTGTTCCTTCTACAGATATATCTCATGATTATTGATAAACAAAAAAATGTTCCCAATATTACCTTACTAAACCAAGGTTGTACAATATTTTTTAAACTAGGAATTATAACCGCAGTTTCGACACCAGATACGAATTAATTAGCGCTATTTTTAATAAGTTATATTTATTTAACATTTATTAAATCTATATAATAAAATATAAGGTAATACCACGCTTCAAATGAAGAAGAGCTAGTAATAAAAATATATTTTGCTGATCAGGCATTCAAGTGTCGAAGATATGCACTTTAAATTATAAACAGTAGGCTGCGAATAAAATATATTAAATAATTTAATGTAGTATAATGGGGTAAATATGTTATTAACATGTTTTGGCAAAGAAAAAATAACGAAAGTGTCCTAGTCGGGTTATCAGCACATTTTTAAATATACATTTATACATCATGGAATCGGAAATGCCGTCCTTTAGCAACTGGCACCTGGTTAAGTTTTATCAAAGACTCTAGAGATATAAATGCTTCAAGGCAAGGCAACTATCTCTGTAGTCTTTGGTATTATACAAAATTAATCATAAACAAAAAAAAAATGACAATCAACTGGAATCTGGTTTAACCTTCAGCTGTAATTGGCGCATTAGTTGGATCCGTTGTGGACACAGCTGGCATCGTCGTATGAATGAGAACTTTGGTTGGCAGCAGATGTTTGAGTGGTTCCAAGATCTGTGTCTGCTGCAAGAAGGTGAGCTGCTGTTGCTCCAACTGAAGCAAACTAATGCCCAGATGCACGGTAATCAACTGGGGCGGAAAGATGCCGTGAATGCAACGCTGGACATATGGCACCAGATCGTACGCAAGGCAAGAGCACAATTTGACAAACGTCTCTCGTTCATTGCCCGTGAAAGCCTGCTGCTCCTGACGATAGAAGGCGAGTACCCGTTGGGCCACCAACTGCAGTGACTTCTGCAGGCAGCCCGTCACATCGGTGGCCACGGCAAACGGGGCACACAAACGCAACTCATTCAAAGCATTCAAATAGCCATTGCAGAGCACGGCAAGTGGATAGAAATCCAGTAATGTTTCTGGCGGCGCATACGATTCCGAGTCCGGATCAGTGCTCATCGCAGCTGCATCGAGATGCTTGCGCGTATGCAAGCTGACCTTATTGATCAGCGTAAATTTATCCAACTCCTGCCCAAAGTTTTGATTCACATGGCTAATGCTTGTCTCGAATTTCTGGCTCACCACACGCACAAAGATGGGCGCAATCAGAGCACGAAAATCAGCACCGACACGACTAAAGGAGAGACCAAAGTACATGCACTGGCCCAGCACGGTTTCAATGGAGCTCACGCCACGCTGCAGATCCGCCTCCAGCGTCAACAGAAAGGCATTAATCTGCAAGGCAATACAATTTATGTATAATCTTGGATAAAGCGTTCAGCTTACCTTATTATGCAGCCAGGCTTGGAACAGGCGATCACCATTGCAACTGACGCCTTGCAGCGACTTCAAATTGCTGGACTTGCCAACAGCTTGTTCGCCATCCGGAAATATGGCTCGATATTGTGTTATAATGTTGAACAGATTGATGCGCGTTACTTCAATCGTTTTGGTCAGATGTTGCTGAGCTATTTAGGAGATAAACTATATAAATACTTTATCTATATTTATGCCCTTTTAGTAGCCTACCATCAACTGTGGGAATCCCTTCCAGGCAGGATGTTAGCCAAGCGTCACGCGCCTGCAAAAACTTCAATTTCAGCTCGTTGTCGCCAAAGGCCTGCATGCGACGCAGATAGCCGACAATCTGCAGACACTTAGGCAGCTGCAGATCCATGCGCAACTGCGCCACAAGCTGCACAAGCATCGTATGCCACAAGGCCTCCACTGAGCGAACAATGCTCTGCAATTGGGCGAGGAATTAGAAAGGAATTAGCAAAGAAAAAATAGAAGATTACCACCCACATTCACGACGGGTATGAGGTGTCCCTGATGCTGGCCCAGTCGCTGCACATAGCTGGCCAGCTCGAGTGCCTCCTCGTAGCGTGCCTCGCGTATGCAGCGCTCCATCAACTGCGGCAACTCCAGAATCTCCAGCAACTGGGCATTCTTATGGAGTGTTGTGCTGTTCAGGCGACGCTGTTCGTTCAACTCGGCGGAATGTTCCAGAAACTGCTCGCATTTGCCACTGAACGCTGGCAGTTTGCCAATCAGCGTGTCCACCTGCTCCTCGGCTTTCTGAAACTCATTGAAGATCGAACGCGAGTTCTCGGCGGTTGTGATGAACGTCTTGTAATTGGAAATGGCTAGCTCCTGAGTCTGCTCCAATATGCGTTTCGTCTCGTCGGCCAGGCGAGTTTGTTCCTTCTTCAGTTGATCAACTTTGCAGGTGCCCAATTTGGCCAAATAATTATCGAGTTCCGGATTGCCACGCAAATTTTCTACCAAACAAAAAACAACATTGTTATTGACAGCTAAAAATGTTCTATATTGCTGTCAGTACTAACCTGGTATGCCATTCGGGAATATCAATTTCAGCACACGTTCGTTTTCCATATCCATTTGCTCAAATAATTCCATTTAATTTTAAAATAATTAAAATGATTTTGTTTTCTTTGCGAGCAATTTTATATCGATGATACGATACATTTCACAATGCAAACTATCGGTAAATATGTGTGGAAATACAACAAAAAGCTAGCTGATACGAACATATCACTTAGTGAATTGTTTGCCATTCAAATGTTTTCGGTTATAAAATGAATCTCAGCAAAATCAGAATTAGTCAAATCAAAATTTATCATATTTGTTTTGCAGGTGCCCAATATGTCACAAAATAATTATCGAATTCAGGATTGCCAAGCAAATTTTCTAACACAAAACAACAATGTTTTGTTACTTTGCGAACAATTTACTCGATATAACGATTCATTTTACAAGCAAAACTATTGATCGATATGTGTAGTGACACAACAAAAAGCTAACTGATACGAGCACAAAACTCAGTGATTTGTTAGCCATTCAAATGTTTTCGGTTATAATTTGAAATTCAACTTTATCAAAATCAAAATATCAAAAATAATCATATTTATATTGCATTACTGCTACAATTATTAAACAGTTGTACTTTCCATGCTCGAGCAATTTCTCTTTGTGGTTGTTAATCATGCGTCTGCTTTTGCCGATTGCACTGGTGAAAGTAGAACATTTATTTGTCTATTTGCTAAAATTTATAACATATTATCTTTATGTCAGTCAGCCAGTCTGTCTGTCCACCACACAACGATGACGCTAATGAACTTGAGTTGAGTTGCAGTCGCATGGGTTGCATGGGAAGCAATCCAATAAACCAGTCGCGCACTTTCATCTCGTTCAGGCTCCAAAGCCAGAATCTTTGCTGTGCTTTTAGCTCTAGACATTTTGGCGTCGTCGAGACAATATTGTCGTTGTCGTTGTTGTTGCTTTTGTTGCTTTTGTTGTTGGCTGTGTAGTGTTGCATTAAAAACCACTCCACCTGTTTAGCGATTGGAAAACGAGTTGTGATCAGTTTTATGCGAATTGATAATTTGTGTAACTTCACATCTTTTCTATAATTACATTTATTGGCCGGAAAGTTTAAATACTATACACATAAATCATAAATAAATTTAAAAAAAAAAATAAAAAATGCTTAAAAGTGTTTTGATTTTCATACATTTTAATTTGACAATCCAAAAAATGGTTTCTTTTGAGTAATAACTTAACTACACCTTGAGAAAATATACCTTAATCTCAAATGCCATCAAATGCCTTCAAGTGTTCTACATTCAAAAATATTTTTAATTCATAATTACAGTAATTTAGCTGATTGCTGGATTGGAACGCAATTTTTTGCACCTGACAAGTAAAAATTAAATTGCATTTATCAAGCTTCTTGAGTACGCTTTAGAATTCAAAGGTGCTCAGCCGTGTGTTATTATTATTATTAATTCTGCACTTTCACTTTAACCCAAATATATAATGGAGTGTGGATTCACACACCAAAACACACACTCACACACACATACATATCATTGAAATCATTGTGTTTGCTAAACATTTATTTACTTATTTACTCAACAATGAGATACCCTTTATTACCAAAAAAAAAACGATCATTTTTTTCATGCCTTTAATTTCCACTAAGAAACAATGTAGCTATAATTATAAATTAATTTATTGTATTTTGGACATGATATTTAAATTTTATTTTTAATCTAAAGTTATTGTCTTCATAGCTATTTTATTTTGTAATTTTATCAAGCGTGTAATAAGAGTAAGGTTTAGATTTATATACATATACATAATCCATGCAACAAATGTTGGGCCATTTCGCATTTATATACAGCCGGAAATCTTATAAATATTTCCTATTTTCTTAAATAAAATTAAATTTTAAATTTGATTTGTAATTTAATTTAATTTATCTTTTTTACTTTTTGTATCTTTTTTTGTCGCCAGACTTTACTTGATATTAAATAAATAAATAATAATTGTCTCTTTACATACATATATATGTTAGTTATTATAAGTTTTTTACAAATATATTTTTTTATGTTACATAAAATAACAATTAGCAAAAGAATGCGCTATAAATTTGTCAAAAATTCAACAAAAAAGTGGCGAAAGAAATGTAAAAAGGAAACACGTAATTGAAATGGGGAAATGGAGTCGAAAAACCACCCACCACCCACACTCACACCCACACCCATTGAGCGGATCGCGAAGCTGTCAATCATTTAAGTCTTGTGGCTATTCCAACATGCATTTTGTGTGGCTAAACTTTGACTTTAACTGCAGGCGATATTGGACTCTCTTCCCCCTCTCTCTCTCTCTCTCTCTCTCTCTCTCTCTCTCTCTCTCTCTCTCTCTCTCTTCCTCTGTGCGAAAGTCATTGACTTGCAAGGAGAGAGAGAGAGAGATTTAGTCAATGAGCCATGCATGTTTATGCACGCTTATGTATTTGTGTAGTTGTTATGGGTTCATAAAAACCAAACAATTTTTTCATAGACATCACTCAATTAACCAAAAATGCATTTTGAAGTTACAGCAAACGGTGTTTAAGTTGAACCATAAACCATAATTTTGAGTTAGATAATTTACACAATTAATTTAATTTTCGATTCGCGTCGGAAACAGCTGGCAAGCTGTGTAAATTATGCTTGGCAAAAACGCACTTTTTGTTCAAACACGAAACGCAGCAGCAGCAGCAGCAGCCACAGCAGGCGGAGCAGCAACAACATATAACAACAACAACAAAGGCCACCACTACTGACCTACTAAACAGGCGTCATCGTCTTCGCTGCTTCCCACCAGCAGCCACAATCAGAGACAACAACAACAGGAACAACAACAACAACAACGGTAGCGAAGTCGTGCCTTCGTTTCGTCTCGGGCAAAACATCTTCGTCTTCGGGTCTTTGGTGCTTTGCTCTCTCGCACTCGTGTGACTGTTTTTCTTGTTGTTGTTGTTGTTGCTCTTGTATTTTTTTGCACTGCTGCTGCTGCTGCGCTCGCTCATTTTTCAATGTTGTGTGTTTTGCTGCGCCCGCCCGTTGCTAACGTTTCGAATAATAAATAAGAAAAAGTTTTCCTGCAATCGCAAAAAGGCAACAACAGCAAAAACAACAACAAAACCAGGCAGAGCCGTAAAAATAACAAGTAACAATGCTCGAGTTAACAGGAAAATATGAACTGGTGTATACCCTGTAATGTGCTACATTTTCTACGGTGTAATTTAATAAAATTAATTATTTAAATATTTAAACTGAATGGTTTATAATTATAAATAATGAATAATAAATGACGACATTACCAAATAAAGTGTAATCTAAATTAATATAAATTACTATATGATATTTTGCGATAGTTTCGAATAAATTGTAAATTAATTGATTATGGCATTATTAATTTGTCCGTTTCAAAGAAATAATATGAATAAAATAATTTTTTTGAGAATAAAATACACAATTTATTTGATTGATTATTTCATTGAAACAGACCAACTCTCTCCGGTGTAAATAAATAACAATAAATTCCGACATTTTTCAAATAAATTGTAAATCAAATGATTATAACATGACTATATTGTGCTTTATACACCCATATTTTGCAGCATCTGCATACAGGGTATGAAAAGCGTTTTCGCTTGCGCCGCTTGCTTTGGCCGTCTTTCTGGCTCTGTCGTGAGTCGGGTTCCGATTTTGCGGGGTGGCAGCGGGGTCGTCACAACACTCGCTTCAATCGGCGCTGTCGCTGTCGACGCCGTCGCCGTCGTCGTCGTCGTCGTCGTTGTCATTTGTGCTTGCTGCCAGTCTGTGGCGCAACTCTCGCCGCAGTTGCAAACGTGAGTGCGAAGCGTGTAAGCGTGATTTTTTAAATTCGGCTTCCAGCTTTTGGGATCGACTGTTGTTGTGGTTTATGTGCGCCTGTTTCATCCAACAGCGGGACAGACAGCTGAAATCAACGGAGTGCAGTGCAAAAAGGCGTTAACATACTTTTCCAAATAAATACAAATGCGAAATACTATATTAATTATTATTATGCATACTATGCGTTGCCGTTATATAAACGCAAATCTCAAACCGCATCGAAGTCTGCAACCGAATCCCAAATAAATTGTTAAGCCAGTGAAATACAAAAAGGGAAAAAGCAACAACAAAAAAAAACAAGGTGTGACGGGGCCGGGTCCCCAAAATCCAACAGCCAAGTGAAACATTGCGAAATCCTTTGACGAAATTTCCAAAGCCACCTTATTTACTTGGGGGGCTATTGCCAAAACAGAGTGAAAGTAAACAATGGAGCTGACGAAAATGGATAGGCGATTGCAAATCACACAGCTAATAACGGTACACACACATACTATACACATATATATATATAACTATATAGTTATTTGGTGACAAAAGTGTTAACTGCGACAACAGTGTCACATAACATGTATTCAGTTGGGCTTGGGATCCGTGCCTCGTATCAGCTGATCAAATAAGCGATAAGACATCAAATTCACTCATATTTACACACATGTAAATATGTATAAATACACACACACACACACACACATGAGCTCAGCTGTTGCTTTTGTTGTTTCGTTACCGGTTGGGAGCGAGACGAAAATATATATACAAAAAAATTTCACTTTCTTTGAGTGCGTTGAAGCGATTTCTTAGTTTTGCTTCTTTTTTTTTTGTCTTTTGGGCCGTCAGTTGAATTTAAATGAAAAATAAATAACAACAAATCGTATGCCAAATTGGATTAAATGTTTGTTCGATTTTTTTGGGCATCTTTTCCGGTGTGTAGGTCGATAAGTGAAACTTAATAATTAGCAAAACAGTTCTTCGATTGAAGCAATCAAATGAATATGCACAATTTATTTAGCATGGAGCTGCACGTCAAGTTCGTCGTCTGAGTCTTTCTATTTTGTTGCTGTAAGTTTCACCAACTGCTGCAACAGCTGCGCCTGGGAATGGCAATTAGCCGCGCACACAAATGGCGATAACGAAAAACCAAATTTGGTTAAATGTAACATCAACTTCATTTGCAGTTGACTTCTAAATTGATAAATAATTCATTGGCCATCTCGCAGATCTCTCGCCGATCGACTAGCAGTTAGTAAATGAAGACATAAACGGGCAGGCCATAGACTGACTGACTAGTCAGTCAGTCAGCCAGTCAGTCAGCCAGTCAGTCAGCCAGTCAGTCAGCTGGTGGTGGTGCAAGTGGTGGCGGTGGTGGTGGTGGTGGTGATGTTGATGGTGTTGGCAGCAACAGGAGGCTTCTTAGAAAGTCGGCAATCCTAATCGCACTGACACATTAAAGCGAGTCGCGTCATGGACAAGTGACAAATGTCTTCCTCGATGCCAGTTGACTTAAAGCGCCCGTTTCGACATATTGATTTGTTAGTGCATCTGCTGACAGCCGAACGACAGACAGACAGACAGACAGACACACAGACAGAACGACTAGCCAGACTGTTGCTCCAATTTCCTTATGGCTTTTTCTAGGTTTACCAAGAAATATGACAATGTATTCAAGTGTGTGTCTGTGTCTGTGTGTGTGTCTGCACTTGAATCTTTCAAGTCACCCGCGTTCGCTGTGTTCCATGTGAGATTCTTTTTTTAATTGTCTCTCTCTCTCTCTCTCTCTGTATATATATATATATATATACATAAATATTCCGCTATATGTACATAGTATATATGTGTGGATATAGTTTTGGCGTGGAACGAAGCGAAAGCAATTTTGCTTTCCATTTCAGGTTGTGTGTTATTTGACCCAATTTCGTTCTGTATACAAAATATTAGTTTGCGAGCAGGTTCGTTGCTTAAGTCATTTGTGGTTCCATCTTAATTAAGTGCATTTTGCGGTTATTTGGTAAAACTGAAAGGAAAATAATAATAATAAGATAACAGTTTAAGTAAATGCCATTTATCCAATTACCAAAATTATCTTCTCGAGTTTGAGAGCAGGTTCGTTGCTGAAGTCATTTGTAGTTTTATTTTAATTTAATGCTTTTTGCAGCTGCCTGGTAAAAATAAAAGATGAAAATAAAAGAAGTAAATGTTGCTTATCAAATTAACAGAATTCTCTGCTCATGCCAATAAAGAGAATATAAATAAACACTTAAGTTTAAAAGCGAGTTCGTTGCCCAAGTCATTTGTTATATCATTATAGATTCATAATTTTTTAGATATATAGTATAATTAAAAGATAAATAATAAGAGATATATATTTATACAACAATTGAGTTAGCATATTTATACTATTTTAAAATGACGACAATATTAGTAAATATTAGTTTGAGAACATGTTTGTTGCATAAGTCATTTGTTTATTCATATTCATTTAAGGCATTTGCGGCTATTTGCTGCAGTTTAAACAAAATTCATAATAATAATAATTAAAGTTAAAGTTAATAATTTAAGTTAATTTTGCTTATAAAGAATTTAAGAGCAAGTTAAAATATCTTAACTTAATAGAAATATCTTCTCGTGCTTATGACAAGTTTATAAATACAATGAGGTTTAAAAACTTTTTCGAGCTTTTTCAACTATATAGTATAATTAAATAATAATTATATATATTTAAATAGTAATAGATAAATGTTTAAACCATTTTTAAGTAAGCTAAATTAAACTATTCCAAAATTCTCTTTTCAGAAGCACAAAATATAATTTTAAAATAGTAAATTTAGGCTGACTTAATTACGACTTAAGCATTTATCTATAAATAAATATATAAAACTAATTAACATTATATAAAAGGCAGATGAGTTGCTTAAATCATTTGTTTTTCCTGTCTTAATGCATACTTACTTAGCTGTGCAGTCTCATCCTTAAGTTCGTTGCGAAAGAATGGTTTTCCACATCGATTATTGAGTTGTTAAATAAACACATTCACTTAGCGAACGGATTGTTTTAAAGTTTTATATTAGCAGTGGTGGTCCAAGCCAATATTTCATCCTTAAGTTCGCTTAGTGAGACGGATTTCCATGAAGTCATAAAGTGGTTTGCAGCTGTGTTTGTTACATTAGTTCCACCATTTGTTTATTCTATTTACATATTTTCATTTACTGAAAGGTTTGGTTCGCGCTTGGATTCGGATTAAATTTTAGTTTCAAGGTTTGGCTTATAGAATAAGAATAGTTAAAGCTCGGCTAAAAGTTACATTAAGAATGCCTTAAAATGTAGTTTGACATTTTGAGATTTATTACAAATTTAATCTTCCGCTGTTAAAGTTTATTATTACGTTTAATAATCATTTGCATTCATTTTCCTTTTCAAGACTCTTGCGCAACCAATTTCGTGGAAAGCTTACTGATTTCATATGTGGAGTTTCCAAAAAGAGTCACCGATACGCAGATCGATAATGCACATGGCATAGTTACCTAACCCGCTGACTAAAGCAAGCTAGTCTAATGGTCCCAAATACACACACACACACACACACACACACACACACACACACACAGCACAGCACTTTCTTTTTAAGCGCACGCAATAGTGAGGTGAATCATACAACTTAAAAAAAAAACAAAAACCGCATGCAAGCTAAAATGATAACTGAATGGATATCAAATTTGAGATGCATGTATAAAAAAAAAAAAATAATAAAACAAAAAAAAGCAAACCAGTTCAAAAAGAGACAGAAACAGGCAGGCTGCTGCTGCGACTGGCTTGGGCTCCGATTTCTGGTGTGTGTGTGTGAGTGTGTGTGTGTGTGTAGCTTTATGTGCTCCTTGGCCAGCCGTCGATTGTGCAACAGAAAGGGAAAGTTTAAGTAAGGGACCCCATTGAATCGACTCGAGTTGAGTTGACTTGACTCGAGTAGACCAATACCAATACCCCGACCAAGACCAAGGTGCTTTTCACAATGCCTTTTGCGGCACTTTACTTTTACTTGGCTAGCCAGCCACTCGCTTTTAATTGCTCTCTTTTACTCTTTCTCTCTGTCTCATTTTCTCTTTGTCTCTGTGTCTTTCTACACTTCACTTTTTGGCCACTTAATGCTTGACGAACGGCCCCAATGCCGGTCCGAAGAGACCCCCACGACTTATCCATCATATATGCATCAAGGTAATTGCGGCCATTCTGTCTTTCTCTCTCTCTCTCTCTCTCTCTCTGCCTCTCTCCATTGCAGACCACCCCTCTGAGCCCCCTCCATGCAAATGCACATCGATCATCTGCTCGTGGCTAGTAAAGTGATTGTGTGCAGTTTGTGCCACTGTGTGAAAGTAAAATTTGATGAGCGACAGCGACACACACTGAGAGGCAGGTAATAGAGAAAAAGAGAGGGACAGATGGAGAGCTGGAGGCGTGGGGGCGAGGGAGATATGGAGAAGAAGAGGCGTATTTTGTTCGTTCCGCTTTTGGGTTTTTACCTCGTCACGCTGTCCACAAACTGTTTGTCCGAGTGAGAGCCGACTGCATTCGTTGCCTACATGATTGACTCTAAAGTGCAACCGCAAATTGAATTCTTTCGTGCTTTTTAAATGCATTTTTCTATTCCCGTCAATATATCCAAGACTTTTTCTTTACCTTTCAAATGTTGCTGGCGCCCATGCGAGTTGAGTTTTGTAGAAGCAAAACAGAACAAACAGTTTTTCATTCATTAATTTAATTGATCTTTTACTCTGAAGAGTATATTAGCTGAATTTAGAGACTTAAAGTTTGGCTTATAAATTAATATACGTCAGACAAAGTGATCAAATTTAGGTACTACGTCCCCTGAGTAGCTAAGAAATCGCTAATATCGATAAATGGAAATCGATAAAACCATATATCTCTTAAAATTATAACGATCTGTCAGATTTGTAGGGTATGTTGCTGTGACATTATTATAAGATCGGTATTTAAATTTCCTACACATTTATTGCTATAAATTGGGTAAAATTAGGCAAAGTTACTCAGAATTTTTTTACCGATGACAATAGGTAAATAGCGCCAGAATTGCGATTCCAATTCTAAATGATGTATCCATCTAGAAGTAAAACCATTATCTAAAGAACCCTGCATATTGAAACTCTAATCAAATTTGACAAAGTTATGGAGTAGGATTGATCAAATTTAAAAGGGGCTTTAGCTTTTCCAAGATGAGACTAAGCATAAACTTTAAAGCATATCGGTCTAGAACATATTTCGCCTATCCAAACTTAATTTATTTCTATTCTTACATTAGTACGTAGTGGTAGCAAGCAACTCAATCATTTAGATATACATATGTCAAAAGAACATAATTATTTTCTATATTTTTCATTATATTATATAAAGTACTGAAAATAATGTAGCAGCTGCTGAAAATATTGTGAATGTTTCCTTAGAAAATTAAATTAAACAAGAACCTTTTTAATTGCTCTCTAAATAAAAATCTAGTACATTAAATTAAAAAAAAGAAAACTACTTCGCTGACAGTTGATTATAACGTAACATAAGCTGGATATTTATCTCTCTAAAAATACAATTTTTGCTCGAATGAAAACCACTTTAAATAAATTTAAAAACTTAACTGGCTATAAAAAAGTGTAACTTAAACACAATTGAGTACAAGAAATATACTTTCAAGTATACATTTTTATTTCCAAATTTAAGATACAATTTCTTAATTTTCTTAATTTAATTTTTGCAATTGCAGTGCTCTGCCCTGTTTGTGCTACTGTTCATGTCCGCCGTGGCGCAGTCCGTTGGCACGCCGAGCTTCGGTTTCGATTCGGCGAACTCGTGCAGTCCGAACGGTAAAGTGTCGCGACGTGGTCGTGCCCAGATGCTGGCAGCGATACCCTGCGATTTGGGCAAGCAGGCGTATTGTCATCTGCCCGGCTCAATATATCCGTGGCATGCGGTGCGTCGCTTTGTCCACGAGAACCAGGGACTGATGAAGCGCATGTACGGCGATGTCCGACACATTTCCATACTACGCGATGAGATCCAGAACAATGAGGTTGTCGACCCGGAGGACATCGAGGAGGCGGCGCAACGCTACTCGAAGATGCCACGTGGCGCCAAGTATATGTTGCATGGTCGGGACAGCGATCGCGATGATTATAGCAGCTACAAGGGCAACGATGTGCTAATGGAACCACATTTTCGACCAGTGTCCGTTGTGAGCAGCACATCAACAACGACAACAACAGCAACACCAACAACACCAACAACGACAACAATTACAACAAGAAAAACAACACCAACAAAAGCAGCAACAACAACAACTGGCACGCCAACAACAACCACACCTAGTTCCTCCAGCTCAACAGGAACTGTTGTGCAACCGGAACATCCCAGTGTGGATTCGAATAGTGTTTATGAAGTGCCCGGCACCAGCTCCACCACCAGTACAACGACACAGCGCACGGTTGCTGGTGAAAATATACAAATTATTGATTCACCACAACTGGGGCAAGGGCTACGCAATTTGAGCATTGCAGCCGCCGCCGCAGCACCTGCAACACTGGTAAAGACCACAACGGCGGCACCCAAACGCACCACAGTGATGCCACTGCGCAGGCAGACCTCGACAACCACCAAGGCAGCAGCAGCAGCAGCCTACGTTAAGGCAGCACCACTGCAAACAACAACAACAACCACTGCTGCAACACTGAGCAGCACCACAGCGGCAAGCAGCGCTTTGCCACCACGCAGAAATGTGACGAAGACAACGATGGGAACCACAACACCCTTCAGCTTTGCCTCACTCTTCTCGCCCACCTTCAATGCGGCTTTGAATGCGGAGAAACAGCGCCGGCCACTGACTGTGAGCACCACCACCACCACAACCACCAGCAGCAGCAGCAGCAGCAGCACCACTGCTGCACCAGCCACCAGCACCACAAAAGCCGGACTATTGCGTGAGGGTGGTCAGCTTTTCCAAGATGCCATGAAGCAGGAGCCGATGGCGGTGAGCAGCAATATGCGTGGAGTGTAAGTACGAAAGAGGTGCAAGATTTATTGTTAAGAGTCCACAACGGTAAGTACACTCGGAAAAAAGACCAGCCAGAATTTTAGAAAATCTTCAAGGATAATTCACCTTAATATTCAGAATGTATATTTCTGAAGCGAAAGCTTGTGCGTCTCTTTGTAAACCAAGGTTTCTATTTTCTTAATTTCATGTTAAATTTTCCTAAAATTAAGAAAGAATATGTCAAATTTAATGTATATTTTTTAATTTGTTCCCTAAAGCAGACAGCAACTTAATTCTAACAGTTGAGAGTGCAAATTTCATTACTATTATCTGAATTTCAGAAAACATTTATTCCAAAAACAAGTCTCCTTTTATTTAATTTATTTATTTATCCCAGCGATACAAATAATTTCTTTTATTCTTTATTAAGAAATATTTTTCTGAAAAATCAAAAGAAAACGTTACCAATTAAAAACGAGAAAAACTTTAATTTTCAGGATAATTTTTATTCTTAGGCGATTCTAGGTAAATTCATATTTTGACTTTTCTCTTAATTTTGCTGTAATAAATTTAATAATATTTTATTAACAAATTTATAGGAATATCCATAAAATAGTTACAATTATTAAATCGGGTTACTTTTAAATAAAGTATTATATACAGGTTTGTTTAAATATTTTCATTAAATAGTTAACAAGTTCGAAACAGACTTTTTCTTCACTTGAGAATTATTTACTTATATCTCTTTTATTTATATTTTTTAGTTTTATTTTTTATTTATTCTTTATTTCCATTAATTTGCTAATTGACATTCATTGATTATCTCCGCTATTTTTGCAGCAATGCTTGTCCTGTCAAGGATGAGGTGGTTGCTCCATTTTGGGCGAACAACACACGTGGCGAGGTGCTGGCTCTGCTCAATCTGTATCCCTTTGAGCAGTATGTACACTGGGAGAAATGCACGCATGAGTTCAAGCAGATGTTCTGTCGCGACGGCTGTCGTTGCGAGCAGCAATATCGATTGCATCGATTGCTGGCCTACGATCCACACAATGAGTGCCGTGGCATCTTCTCCGACTGGTTTCGCTTCCCCTCCAGCTGCATATGCAAGTGCTATAATATACCCATGGATTTTCGGGCAACATCGCGTAGTCCGCGCTCCGACAGCAGCTTCGATGATGGGACACAGTCTATGCCACAGCCGGACCCAATTCGGGCAGCCGAAGCGGAGGTGCAACGTGCCATCTACGAACATGCCACAGATCAATGGTATCGGCCACGCGATGACTTCGATTTCTTTGAGGGTTAGCTCGTGACACAAACACAGACACAGACACATGCACAGCCAGAGACAGAGAGAAAGAGTACCTAGTCCTAGTCCCTCCCATGTACAAAAAAAAAACTAAATAACCCCTTGTAATTAAAACGACTCAAAATAAATAATCTAAAACTGTCTCAAATTTAAGTTATGCTAACTTTAAATTTCACTTGAAATTCACAATTAATAGAAACTAGTTTAATAAGATATATTTAAGTAATTATTGTTGTTTGAGTTACCCTTTAATTGTTAAATGATTCTACGTTAAGCCAGCCATTGTGTTATTGTATATAGATAAAGATCAACATAATGTGTTTCCCAGCGAAAACTTTACAGAGCGAATGTACCTTGAAATATTTATTAAACGAATTCGATATTCAACTGCGTTTAATAGTATTGCTTTTATCATTAATTTCGATTAGAAATAATTTTGCATTACGGACGTGTGGCCATAAAACATTAAAAACTGTATACATATTTTTTTGATCTGTAAATAAAGCCAAAAGCAAAACACACAAAAAACATTCTGGAAAAAATATTTATTGCAAAAAATATATACGTGCAAGTATATAAAATGCTTACAAATGTAAGTATATATATATATATATTATTGTATAAAATATATTGTAATGTATTTAATACGTTCATAATTAACTCATTCATCTTTTGCTGTTGTGTAAATTTGCATTATATAATTTGATTAATGCTAAAGGCATTCGTATCAGATTTAACATTTAGATATTTTAAGGCTAATATAGCATATATATATATAGTAATAGCATTTTTTTCAATACCCACTTTGTTCATCAAATAAAGATTTTTTTGTATATTGCATAAATACACCTCGACTCTTTTTTATACTTTTAGTGGTTTTCTTCTCTTGTTTTGTTTCTTTTCATAAAAGACACTTTGTTTTAGATATGTTTTTCAGTTTGAGAACGACAATTTTGAAGAATAATAAACAAATTATTTAAATATTGCCATTAAGTAAACACAATTACAGTTGCAACCGTATAAAGCCAAAAAATTTCTATTGCCACACAATTTGATGAAATGTGTTGAAGTGTATAAATAATTTAGTTATAAATATGCATTTATATATATATTCATAATAATTGAACTGGAAGTATCAAGTCATTGACTGAATAATAAAAAACGGGACTAACACTTTACATTGAGAATTTTTCAAATCCACGTACAGACCAATACCTTCCACAAATATTGTATATAAATTAAATGTAAGAGACATTAAACAAACATACAGAAAATACGCCGTCCTAAATATGCCAACATAATAGGTATAAGTATATATTGTGCTTAGCATAGACGACATTGAATACTCTGCGTTAAGCGAAACGAATACAAAACCTAAATAATATTAATACGCATTTAATTTAATATGCGTAGCTGCACAGAGTAGCAACTAAAAACTAGAAAAATATCGTAAATCTCGTCGAATTGTGCTAACCATTAGTAACAGGCACCCAAAGTAATTTATCCTGCTCCTTGTCGACGGCGTCCTTGATCTGAGTGCACATATGCTTGATGCTGACGCCAGGTATAACGGCTATATAAAAAACAGATAAAATATATTACCAAATACATTCAAATAAATAACACATCTGCTCTTCTGATATGTACAAGTTGACTAATAGGGTTTACATCAGAAGAGTAAATGGGTCTATTGAGAAACGTTTCACATACCGGATATATACTGTTTGTAATCGAACTCCAGTTTGAGAGCGCGCTCGTACATCTCCTTGGCAGCTTTGGCTGATATTTTGTCGGTGCCAAAGTCGCGAATATCGCGAATTTGCTTGGCCGACTTGAAGCGTAGCAGCAGCACAATCGGATAGATTTGCAAACGTTGCAATCGCTCTACGGCTGAGATCGACACATCCAGTATGCAGTGGCGCCGATCCTGCAAGGATATTGTCAAGCATTTATTAGCATATTGCGAACGGAGCATATTTCACATTGATACTCACAATTTTGCACGCATTGCTGATGGCTTCGACGGTGGTGCATTCGAATTTGTTGCCACGTCGCCGATAATCGACAAATATGTTCTCCTTGAGGCCCTCCTCCATGGCGTCTTGGGAGCAATCCATCGCTGTTACCTCGCACAACTTAAACAAATTAGAAAAATCAATCTTTAAACGATCTATTAAGCATTCGGAGAGCGGTCCAATGATTAGCACGGGTCGACGTATTGGCGCTAAAAAATAATAAATAAATGTTATTATACAAATAAACAGAGATTAAGTTGCTAGTCAGCACTTACAGTCTAAGAGCTCTACACGCTGATAGCTCAAGACGCCGCCATCATCGTTGAGAATGCCCGAGTCCGGAAAGAAACTCAGCTGCGTATTGCTGAAGCTCGCTATTTCCGTGGAGTCACGCGAGGAGCTGCGCTGGTTCTTCTTTCGGCGAAAAAATGAACGTCGCGCCGAAGTGCTGCCACGTCGCGCAGTGCCCGTATCACAGTCGACTACCTCGCCCGAACGCATCTCCTCCTCCACTCTGCAGAAATTCAAAGAAAGTAGTTAATTATGATGAAAATCAAAGAAATACGCACTTAAACTCCTGCCTTAAACAACAAAACTTAATCCTTGAATTAATTAATTGACTTAATCGTTGATTCCTTGAATATTTTACTTTTATTCGGGCTATCAATACTCACTTCATTTGACTTGGGATAACGCCGCACTCCTTGCGATGTCCCATCGAATCCAGTTTCCAGGCACGCCACAGACCAAACGTGCCATTGAACACCGTGTTATCCACGTAGAGCACCTCATCCTTGACGAAACGCAAATCCTCCTCGTTCAGCTCACCGAAGCGATCAAACCCCACACGCACATAGAACGAATCGCCAGGCTTATCCTTGATTTGCTTGAGTGCTATAAATATATATAATAATTTATGTTAATTATTATTTTCATCATTATTTACACTCTGCCACTCACTTTGTAACTTGTTCTGGACGAGCATTGAAACCGTGTCGGTGAGCTTGGAGATCTCATTGGCTGCCTGCTCGGCGGTAACACCGCTCAGATCGACACCATTGTACTCCAGTATGAGATCACCCTTGCGTATGCCGGCATGATCCGATGGCGAACCAGGCGCCACATCATGCACATAGATCCCGACCTTGTTGCCGCCAAACAGCTTAATGCCCAGATTCTTGGACTTATCCATGTGCAGCGTCACAAAGCGTAGAGCTGTGAAAAAAATACACGATTAGTCATACATCCTGTCTGTTTTCGGATTCTGGTTTCACTTACACTCTGCGGCCACCGTTGCCGGCGCCGAGGGCAGCGTCAGTTTGGCATCCTCATCGTAGACCGTTGACGCGGCAGATGCCGTTGTTGTTGTCGTTGTCGCCGCTGAGGATGGCATGTCCTGGCTACTGCTAATGTCCGATTGATTCTCCAGGCTGTCCGTAAAGCTCTGATCCTTGATCGACTGATGTGAGAGTGGCGCCCGTGTCACAGTTCCCGCAGATGGCAGCAACGAGAGCGTCTGCATCGGTTGCATTGGCAGCGTCGCTTGAACACTGCGCAACGGCGGTCGCGGCGAATTGCGGGGCGTTGGCGACCCCGAATGATTGAGGGGAGATTCTGGTTCCAGATTGTGGATGCCTTCGTACTCGGTTGAGTGAAACTCTGCAAGATCAATTGAGCAAATTAATAATCTCTCCTTGAACAAAATAGAGGTATGCCCATAAAAAGGATTTAGAATAGATTCTATAGGAATAATTGATAAATTATTAGTGGGCATGAATGGAAAACATTAAAAATTTACTACTTATGTTAAAATTACAAATTGGACTCTATTTAAAATCAGTTCGGACGCCTTTTAAATTTGTATCGTTTTAAAGAAAATGTCTCCTACACCATAAAGTATATAATATCTTGATCAGCATCAGAAGCCGAGTCGAAATATGAATTTTTGTCTGCCTGTCTGAGTGTCTGTCCTCGTTTTTTACACGCATATTGTTTATAAGATTGAACTCACTCGGTTTTAATGCCTGACTAAATTCAATTATCTTTTGTTTCAATCAGGAATCGAAACTGGTTTCTACATGTCCATATATCCATATACTTATATGTATTATGATTTGTATATTCTCAACTTACTCTCTGGATTGTACTGCACGAGCATTGTGAATGAATCGCCGCATTGGCGCAGCACATTTGCGGCAATTTCATTGGTGGCGGCACGCATGTTGATGCCGCAGACTTCCAAGAGTTGATCGCCCACCTGGAGACCGGCACGCATCGCGGTACTCTTGTCCGCCACCGTGGACACAAAGATGCCGCCGCCATTCTTGTTGCACTGTATGGTAATGCCCAGCGACTTGTCGCGCTTATCGATCGTGACTCTTCTAAGGTCTCCAGGGCATAGAAAATCCGTTGCCACATTCGAATTTCGTTTGCCGCTGCCACTTGGCACCTGGCCATGACTCAGCACCTCCACATGCACCTGGGGCATCGGTGAGCCACGGCCACTGCCACCACCACCACCACCACCGCCACCAGCACCCACGCAACCACCGTTGCCACTGCCATTAATGCTGCTCATATTGCCGCCACCACCACCATAGTTGGTGGTGTGCAGCGATGTGCTCATCATTGGATTATGTGCGGAATTGCCACCATAATGATGATCAATGGAGCCGGAACTGTTCTTGACCAGACTGCTGCTGTTCTGTCGATTGCTGGCCACGCTCGGATTGGATGGAATACGCAAACGTTGATTGTCCTTCTTGCGTGGAAATGTGCCGCCCTCATAGATGACACCATTGCCAGGACCCGCTGCCGAAAGACTATAAGGATAATGTTGGGACTGCTGCGACTGCGACTGATTGTAGTCCATGTAGGGCGGATGTTGATGATGATGCTGTTGCTGCTGCATCTGATGCTGATGCTGATGATGTCCGAGCGGTTGATGCGCCAACGGATGCTGCTGCTGTTGCTGCTGATTGTTGCTCGTCGGCATATAGACCAGATCGGTTGGTATGCCAATGCTGCTGCTGTTGCTATTGCTCTCGACGGCTTGGGTTGTGGGTGGCGAGGGCAGAGTCAGCGGACTCGAGCGACGCATATAGCGCATGGCATGCGTGCTGGGCGGATAACTGGGAAAGAGCTGCGTATGCCGATTATTGCCCACCGGGTGACTGACCAAATGTGAGAGATGCGTGGGCGGCAAATAGTTGTGACCGGTGCCAATGATGGTCATGGAACCAATGCTCTCACTATCGCTGGGATATTTGGGCACATGTTTGGGCGGCATTGGCATCGACATCGGTGGCATCACACTGCGCTTTGGATACACCATCAGATTGCAATCGTTGTGGGGCGGCGGACTCTTTGTCGACAGCATGGACTCGATGGAGTTTTGGGATTTCAATGAGATGATGTCGACGGGATTGCCGGAACCCGAACCGGAACCAGCCGAACCATTGCCCGCTGACAGACGTGGCGGTGGATGCAGTGGCATAAAAATAGCATTCATTTTGGGCAGTGGCAAAGGTGGTGCTCCACCAGCTGCTCCTGCTACACCTGCTGTTGCTGCTGCTGTGGGCGGCAGTGCAGGTGCTGCTGAGAGCGGTGCCTGTGTCGGCTGCTGAAACATATCGAACATTTGCTGTTTGCGCGAAACGGGAAATTCACCGGCAGCAATGGCTGGCACCACCTGCTGCTGGGCCTGCTGACCCGTCGTCTTCGGCTGATAGAAATCCCCGCCACTTGCCGGTATATTCAAGGAGAAACGATGCGGATTATGATTGCGTCCGGTGCCGCCCACATTGCGCTCCTGCTGACCATGCAGCTTGACACGCGCAATGGCGCCCATCAGTGGTGCACTGCGCTTGTTGCTGTCATCCGGTGTGGATAGGACGCCGCCGTACAGCGAATGCCGCGGATAGGTGACATTCCCCGGTTGAAAGAGTGTGGAGGCGACAACGTTGCCAACCGGATTCGAATTGCGATTCGGATGCGTTTTAATTGCACCACCACCACCAACACCACCTCCAACAGTAGCAGCACCACCACCGCCATTTAGATTGCGTGGCTTGGACAGCTGCGGCGGCAACGGAGGCGGCGGCAAATCCTGCAGCTGCAATTGTGGCTGTTTCGACGACTCCAACGGATCGACAACATCATCATCCTTATCGACATTGATGGGGCCGGCCGTGAAGAGGGACATCAGAGCACGTTTCTTTTCGCCGCCACGCTGAACGATGGTCCCAGTGGGATTGTCATGGGAGATATTGGTGCGTGGCCAGGTGCCCATTGTTTTGGCCTCCTTTTCACCTTTCTTGCCACGCTTATGACGCTTGAAGAGATTCTCTTTGCTCTTCTCGGAGCTATTCTCGCTCAGCACCGAATCCAGCGCAGCAATGGCCACATCGTGCTCCTGCTCGAAACTATCATCCGCCGTACCCGGCTTACTAAACTTGAGTTTGCGCAAAAAATCGGCAAATTTCGAGGGATGCTTGGCGGCACCGCTATTATTATTATTATTGCTCGTTGTGGTGTTGGAGGTGGTGCCAATGGAGCTGGCGACACCACTGCTGCTATTCAAGTGCTGCATCGAATCAATGGAGCTGTCCGTCTGTGCCGATGAGCTGGTCATGCGACAATGCTGCACTCCTCCACCATCCGACTCGGGTACATATTTCAATGCAAAAATGCTGATGGTGTCGCTGTTGAGCAACTGCATCACCTCATCGATGGATTGCAACGAATCCATGGATTTGTTATTAATGCTCAGCACACGATCCCCCACATCCAATTCGGGCTCGTAGAAGGCCAACGAATTGGGCTCAATCTTCGCAATGAATACACCCATATCCAGCTGGAGTCCAATGGCATCCCGACTGTTCGTCTTCAGCTGGACGGCATACGAGTGCCGTTTGCTGTGGCGAGTGCGCGAGACGAGCAGCTGGCAGCGTGGCGCACACGCACGGATCTCGTCGAGCACCATACGCTTGGAGACGCCCTCGCACTCCAGATTGTTCACCTTGCAAATGAAATCGTTGATTTTCAGTTTGCCACACGCTGGCGAACTATTGGTGACGCCACAAACCAACTGGCGCCTGTTGCTGTCGTCGAGTATGATGCCCAGATCGGCAGTCTCGTGATAGTTGCACAACTCAATCTCCAAGAGATCGGCGCCACTCTCAAAGCAGCTCAAGCGAAAGCTGCGCCTCGATGCTGTGTCCGAGGTGGCAATTGTTGATGTTGTTGTTGCTGTTGTTGCTGTCTGGTTCTCGAGCTGCTCTTTGAGCGCATCGATTTTGCGCTGGGCTTCGTCCTTTTGCTTCTTGATCTTCTCGCTGTCGCGTATGGCCATCAATAGATCCGAGATGGCCTTGTCGCGCTCCTTGCGCAGGTTATCACAGAGCGTCTTCACCGAATCGCGCTCCTGGACGATCTTCTCACGTTGTGAGATGGCCCAATCGCGTACACTTTTCGCCTCCTCGGCATCTTGCTGGGCACGCGCCACCTCCGATTGGGCCTTGTCCAGGCTCTTGCGCAGCTTGTCGAGATCCTCTTTGCTGGTATCGCTGCTATTGAACTCCTTGGACCAGCTGCTCTCCCTTGACTTGAGCAGATCACGTTTCTTGTGCTCCGCATTTGCCAGTTGCAGCGATTTCAGTTCCGTTTTGTAAACCAACTCATCCTTTTTGAGACGTTCGATTTCTTTGTTTGCCAACGCCAGATCATCGGACATCTTTTGATGCTCCTGCAGTACATTGTCCTTCTCGGACAGCAACTGATTCAGTTCCTCGGTCAGCGAGACCACATGTTTGGTCTCCTTGGAGAGGAGAACTTTAAGCGTTTGATTCTCATCGCCACGATCACGATAGAAGCTACGCTCCTTTTCCAACTCAATGTAGGATTTCTTATATTTCTCCCGTTCCATGGCAATCAGATTGCGTTCCTTTTTCAGCTCGGTTAGCTTCTCGCTGCTGCTGCAGCTGCCATCGCAAGGCGTTGGCATTTTCCCATAGTAGAAGGGATTGTTGTTAGCAGTCGTTGTGCTCTGTGCAGCTGGAGGATTGCCATTGTTTTGGCTCTCGAGCAGCATTAGTTTGTGCTTGAGTCGCGTACTCTCCGCCACAATGTCCGTGAATTTGCTGCGATCGGCCATGTAGTGCTCCTGATAGATATTCAATTGGGTGGCCAACTCATCGCAACGACGCTCCGAACTCGAATGCTGATGCCGCAATGTGCTCAGCTCCAGCATTGCGGATTCGTACTGTGATTGCAACAGTTCAAATTTCTTGGCATTTGTCGGAACCCCACCTCCTCCGACGCCTCCTCCACCGCCGCCGACGCCGCCTCCACCCCCGCTGCTGACCACCTTGGTGGGTCCATTGTTGTTCGCCATATTGGCGGCCGTTGTGCTGCCGCTGGAATTCGAAGGCGGTCGCAATGTGCTATCGTAGCCGACATACTCGGAACTTTCCTCTGCCAGGGCGGCATAAAAATATTATATTATTCATGCATGCTCCTTCGGAAGGGTTTTCTTTCTATACTCACCCTCTTGACTGCTTGTGCTGGTCAGCGAGAGGTCACCAGATGCCATTTTCGCCATCACAGCATCTTTTTCATCTTATTCCACATGCGATAGATGTGCATACAAACACATATATATTTATTCAGTTAAGCTGCAAGAACAGAAAATCAGTGTTAGAAATAATCATAATAAAAGAGGGGCTTACTTATGATGTGTGCAATGTTTGTGGCAAGATCAGTGGCTTGTTTTATACATATTCCAATTAAACTTATTATGCATTCTTTGAATAACCTTTACTATATGTACATTTATTTAAATATATGTATATATCGAGCAGTTCGAGCAGCTTGTCTAAACGTAGGTTAAGAATCAATTTGTTAACAATCAAATAAATATATATGCATTTATACTATCTTATATCCTATAAAACTTAATAAAATTTTCAAAAAATGCATTAAAAGCCTTGTCAAAATAAATATCAACCTAGTGTTTAGGCTATAATATTAGAGACTAGTAACTCAAGGTTTAAAAACAGAAGGTATAATTTTGTCGTTAAGCCTGCGAAGCGTTGAATGAGAGATCGGCAACCACGCAAAGCATATATATTCTTGATCCGGACTATAATACTATATATAACTTTCATTGAAAAAGTCGTTCGTTGAAATTTAGATAACAAGTTGTCTCAGGTCTGCAAGGGTATCTAATCTTCGGCATACCAAAGATAACCATTCTCACTTGTTTAATACTAAATTTGATGACTGCAAATGCTAATAATAATAATAATAGCTCAGCTACAAATAAAAATAAAACAAATTGAGAATATTTAACAAATATCTCAATTTCATTACAAGATAAACATCAAAAATATAAAAAAATTATTGTACATTTTTATCTATTAATTCCTACTTAAAGTCTTATAAATCACTAATTCCAAATAAAGTTGCCTATAAATCCCAACTAACACCCTAAGTCAAATACAATGTATTTATTTTAACGTCTCTCAGAATGTACATTTCTTTAGTGTAGCTTTCCATTAAATAGAAAATTCAATTGTTATTCAAATTTGCATTGTTTTATTTGGCACTTGCATCAAAATCAGCACAGCGAAAAACCCAAATCAAAACAAAAACGATCAGCTGTTTAATTTGTAGTTGTCATTCACATGTCAACGACGAATGGAGCATGTACATGTGTGTGTATGTATGCATGTGTGCATATATGATGATGATCAAATATGTGTTAGTGGATTAAGGGCAGAGGGCGGTTTATTTATATTTTAATTGTATTCAAATGAATGTAGTAAAGATATATGTTAGATGTATTTAAATTCATATCCAAAAAAATACATACACACAATTTATATGGGAAATGAAACTTTCACAATGTGAAATCGCCATTTTCATTCATTGAACAAATGAATTTCAAATTTAAATACAACAGCAACATCAAAAAAAAAAGATGAGAAAGAGATTAAGAGAGAGTGACAGAGAGAGAGAGAGAGGGAGAGAAGGAGAGAGAGAACTCAATAAACGGGAATAGAGGCAGAGCAAAGCTTAAAACATAAAAATACATATGCATAAAGCTTGCTTTCAAAGGGGCTAATGACTCCATTAACGCTACTTATTGTTGTTATTGTTTCAAAATTTCAATTTAAGCACAAACGTAAGAGAGCGGCAATAGTAAAAACAAAAACAACACCAAAAGAATTAATTGAGTCAGCCAAGCAGAAAGCGTAAATTTGACGCAAGAGCAAAATAAGTTTACGTAAAAAGAGCGAGATGCAGAGCGAGACAGAGAGAGATGGACAAATAGCAGGAAATTTTTTTTTTGCCTTATAAGCAGCAGCACCAATTGGAGTAAACGTAATGGAACAAAACATATGGACATACCCCAATACATGCAAACATATGTAAAATGCATATGTGTGCACACAAACACACACACACACACATACATAGAGAGAAGCACACGCAACAAATGAATGAAAATGAGCAATGAACGACGACGACAACACCCCAATTTCAGCCCCATGCCCCCTTCCAACAACCGTTAAGAGGCGGATGCGCAACTGGTGAATACGCCTTTTACCGTTCGAATGCAACAAACAACAATTACAACAAGCAGCAAGCAGGCAGATCCAGGAGAAAGGTCAAATTCCAAAGCACAGCAAATCAACAACAATAATTATTCTCAATAAAATAAATTACAAATCACGAAAACATTAAGAAAAGACACGAAAAAAAGTCAACCTTCAGAGTTTCAGTTTAGAGTTTAGACACAGTGCAAACGTCACTTCTTTAATTTTCACTCGGTTCGTTTCATTACTTTTGGTGGAGATCTTCGGATCTTCGCTGCCGACGCAGCAATTTGTAAACACGTATTTTACAATTTTTCCAGCGATATTTGCCGTTTTAAACGTTTACGCATTGCGTTTATTTGCATGAATTATAATTAATTAATAAATTAAGTAGTTTGATTGCAACACAAAAAAAATGAAAAACTAAATAAAAATAAAAAATTTTTCGCTGCGAAAGTTGTAGTGTGACCGTACGCCTCGAAACTGAAATACTGGTTCGTCGGCCGCACTAAATAAAATACTTGGCCAAAAAAATACCAATAAATGATTGCGTCAATTTTTGCATTTCGGGTAGTCCTCAAATAATTATTATACAAAATATTTTAACTGATTATTCTACATTTTCAATGAAATACATTTATTTCATTACTTATATATAATTTGCGATTTTTATTTGATTCGAAAGGGTTTTTTCAATACCGTTTTTTATGGCTAGTGTTATATAAAGTTTACGGTTTACAGAATACGGTCAGTTTAGCAGAATATGTTACCAAGAAAACATCGCAACACAAATTGAATCAGAAACCCATTCTTTCAAGCGATGGCGCTTTGTTTCAAATGTAATTCTGATGTTTTTCTTTAAAGCGTCATCTGTCGGTCATATAAATAGTGGCGCCAGTTTAGCCGCACAAATTTCTCGTTATTAAAACTTATGTCAGCCGGAAAATTGCGCAAATGTAAATGTATAAAGCGCCATCTATCTGTCGTGATTATAAGCGTGCGTACAGTGGCGCCACTCATAAACTGTTCCTAGCGGAAAATCTCTTCTTTGTTGTGCATAATTATAATATGCGTCTGCTATAATTTGTTGCGTGTAAAGCTATTCCATCAAAATCAATATGGCGGCACTCCACTTGTGGATCCTGTTTGGCTAATTAATAATTTGATATCAGGTAAATACAAAACTCTCTAAAAAACTGCTAAAAGTATAAAAGAAAAACTAAAAATATAGATTATTTAAGCAATATTACGAGCGTATTGCTCTGAAACGCATTTATATATTTTGCAAGTCTTTCTCTCGCTTTTTTAGCTTTTTCCTTGTGTTCTTTGTATTTATCGATATTCGATTTGAGCTCGCTTCCTCCCTTTATCGATAAGTAATTAAAAAACTTGAGACGCAAATTTAGAAAACAAGACAACTAAGTATTTATTTACGGGAACATATACACGGTAAATATAATTTAATAGTATGGTAAATGTAATTATTGTAGTTTCTTTGTTTTTTGTTATTTTTTGTTTTTCATTTCAATAGTGAATTGTCCTAAAATAGACAACACCCGACTAGCCTAGTCCTAATTTAGTTTCAATTGAAGTATGTACTAAATAACTATATCCGCTTCCAGGCCCAACGACTCCGAGTGCTTCTTGGCCTTCATCCGCAGATCCGCAATGCTGGAGTTCTTGTGCGCGGCGGCAAATGCGGCCAAATGCAGCGGATACTGTGGCAATGTGAAAAGTCCGGCGGGTCTACTTCTATTACTAATCGCCGCCGCATACTGTGGAATAATGAAAGAAATCCGTTAAAAAAAGGATAAGAAAATACAAATACAGTTGCGAAAAAAAATAATAGCACCACTACAACATAAAACAAACAATTCGTTTTGCAATTTTTTCAACTATTAATTATGAATATGTTGTTTAGTATTCCTCCTATAAATGCTCCAGGAATTTTTAACAATAAGTATATAAATATATATTTTTTGATTTGAAGGTAAAACTGCCAAAAAGTAGAGGAAAAATAAATCTATAGAAATCCTTTTTCTATTTCAAATTTGCATAATTATAAGTAAACATTTGAAAAATTGTCCTATTATTTTTTTACAATCAAAATAAGTAGAAAAGAGTGACTAAAAGTGTAATTTTGCGAGTGCTCTTCCACTTCTAAAAACATTATATATTTAAAAAAGGCACCTTTAAAAACACTTTTAGTAAGAGTGGTGCGACTATTTTATTTTTTTCTATAGACCAACTCCAGGCACTTACCTGATGAGCAGCGGCCGATAAAATTGCTGGATCGAAGGCCGAGAATGCAGCAGCGGCTGCAACGCTGCCGGAAAAGTGTTCAGCGGCAGCCGTTGCAATTGCGGACGGCGACGGAGCCCGGCTGCCGTTAACCAGGCTAACGGCACTTTTGCCATTCTGCTGCTGCTGCTGTTGCAGACTGCCTGCCGGCATTATGGATGTGCTGGTATTCCGGATGGTAGCCAGATTAACATAGGGCGCCACACGACAAGGCTCGAGAGGCGTTGCCACCGGCGGACTTCGGCTACTGAGTAAAATACCTGAAATATTTCCAAACATTTTGCACAATGCAAAACAAACAATCATAAATATATCAATTATAAAGCTTTGACTGGGATAAATGTAAAAGAGGGTATATTAGTTTTATACTGAAAATTCATCTTTCTTTTCTATTTATTTTGCAAGAAAAATCTACTTTATGATTAACTTATATTCTATATTTAAGTTATCTACAATTTTTTGGAGTACTTACAACTCGTTAAAAGAAAAAACTGACAAATTCATTAACTTAAATCATTTTACAAATTTAAAAACCAAAATAATGGATTCTTTGGATTCTATAAAATAAATTAATAGCCGCTTTTAATGATTTTGCAATTCAATTTTGAGCCGACGGCATTTGAAAGAAGCGTTCTTATTTTGTCTGGTCTTGTCATCTATAATATTAGCCATCAGGTTTTATATTCTACTTAAATCGGCCTTTCTGATTATTATTATTTTGTACAATCTGAATTAACAGATGAAATTAATCCAAACTTCTAAGCGACACCCTGTAAAAGCAACCTGTGACTGACTCTGCTAAAAAAAAACTCTCCACAACTCTCTCTGCACGACTTCTTCAGCACAGTCTGGTCACTCTAACTGATCCCTGTTAATGCTGTATAGCTGCCTGCTACGAAATTCCGTATAGCTTCATATTTTTTACATTTACAAATAAACACAATCAGTTAAATTTCTCAGATTTGGATCAAGTTTGATATACCGAATATCGGCAAGGGTATTTCATATCCCACCCAAACAACTTTACTCTCAATTTTGTTGGCTTTATTTATTTAAAATCCCGACCCCTTGGCAAATTGTCGGACTCACGCTTGAGTTCGTTCGTATGTTTTTTGTATGTGTAAATAATTTACATAAGCACATACCTTTAATGCCGTAGTACATAAACACAAATGAACATCCCAATTTGGCAAATCGGTACAAAAATTCGTGACAAGTAATTGAATTCATTTTCTAATTTATTGCCATGAAAACACCCCCAAGGTTGAGATGCTCGCATCTCCCGCCCCAGCCCCCGCCCGCATTCCCGCTGCAACAAGCCATGGCCAGACGGACACATATCAAAATGACACTCCAGGGACCACAAGGCCAGGACCAGAACCAGGACCTGGTTGGCTTCTCTTCACTTATGCAGTGCTTTGCTTTTAGGGCTATTTCACTTGCGTGGCGATAAAAAGTCTGAGAATTGATATAAGTCCATAAAATGATACCTTACGCCATATGAAAAAAAAAACGCAGAAGGAGGTTGCTCTTTTTTTATTCGAATTTTAATTTGATTACTTTCGTTTTGGTTTTGCACACCGCCCCGTCCTTATGCTCCTGCTGCCCGCCCCCCGAGCACATTTCCTCTAGCAATTTATATACACATGTGGATCTGAGCACTTTAGCAGTTAACCTGGAGTAAACTAAATCATCACAAGGAATGCTTTTTCGGATTAAACCTGTTCTATTTAGGCACACATAACTTAAACTAGAATATGAAACAAGTCATAAATATGAATTATGAGAGAGCCTTTATCATTATTTTGGCTGTTGCCGACGTGCCCCGTCGTGTCTGTCTCTGTCTGTCGCTACAGACTCAATTTATGGAGATATTATATCACGAACACTACAAATATAGCAGATGAGTTGCCTCCAAACCTAACTAGTTGGTTCCCCTAACTGGAGAACTAGGCATGGACTTGAGTATCCAAGCTATAGTAATCTTTAATCTTGCCTTGAGACGTAGAATGTTGGAATAATCTCTTCTGGAGTCCCTTTAAAAACTCTCAAATCAAATGAAATATATTATCGCCTTCTGCGGATATTATCGACTTATCGGATTCGGGTTCTTTGTAATGATTGGCACCCTTGGCTACCTCCCTTGCATCATCTTTCAATTGTTGCTCTGTATTCTTTAAAATTAAATTGCAGTCATATTTTCATACCTGATTGATCACTTTGATCACTCCGGAAAAATATACAAATTTAAGATTAAATTTAAAATTTAAATTAAAGTAACAGATTCAAAAAATTCAGTAACAGATCGGCCGGGAAAATTAGCAATCTGTCCCTGTCTAGAAATCTAACTTCAGTAATTTCTGCGTTTCCGAAATAAAGATTGCAAGATCAGCATAAACAAACAAATAACCAGATTCTGAGATCTGTCCTAATTTAGTAATCGATTATTGGCAGCACGAGTAAACTGCACTTTAAATTTTGTGACTCTAGTTTTAAAATTATGGGAGATACGTGGATTTGCATTTATCGATAATATCGATGGGCTCAGCACCACAATTTTGAAAACCGTAAATAAATAAATTAAAAGTAAACAAATTTTATGTCTATTCTCTTAACCTATTTTTATTTACAAGAACTCCCTTAGCCCAAAGTGGGATCTATCAGTAACTATCAAGTTATTCTATGGATATTATTGGTATGCCTGGATTTCTTTATCGGTCATCTGCCATCCTTCAGATGGAGTTTGCAATTGACAGTTTATAATTAATAAATCGAAAGTTTTATATGTATTTCTTAAGCTTTGTAAATTAATAACTTAATAGGAAATACATAAATATTCGAAAGTCATTGACTCTATGGAAATAAAAGTGTTCCTCCTCATTCAAACCCCTTTCAATTTGTATATAATCAGTGTTTCTTTGCAGGTTTATTGTATCTGCACCCTCGCTAATCCCCGGCTAAGCCACAGTCGTACTGTCTCCACATTGAACATGGAGTTGATTTTAATTTATGCACATTTAAAAGAACTGGGCAATTAGTTAAGTAAACGTTGAAAGTTTGCAGCTTAACTGAAAATGCCGCAGTTGTCTTAATGCCGGCTTCCTTTCTGGCTTCCTTCCCGTGACTTGCTCGCTTAACCAACTGGTTGACACAATATGTCATGGTTTCACAGTTTATTCAAATGTATCATCATCAATATATCAAATACGTAGAGCTGAACCACCCTCTTCACGTGCATTTCCGCCTCCACCCCAATGCAGATTCATCAACGCCTCCCCACGAAACTTTCGACCGATAACATTTTTATTTTCCACTTTTACGGCTGGAATATTTAATTTGATTAAGTTGGCAATGATTTGTGTCCATGTATTTCCAAAGGGGAATTTCGCTGGCACAGCGACAAACACCAAAATCACAGCAGATGCGAATTTCAAAATTCAGCAATAATTTAAATTTTAATAACGTACAAATTTTTGGGAGTATATATATGGACTATATAAGCGAATTTATGGCTGCTTTATTTGAGGTGTTAAACCTTGTCGTCAGAGTAACCCCTTGAACTTCAACTTTACCTTTGACTTTTATTTTATTTCTATTTTGCTTTTAAGGAGGCAGTCTTAGGAAGTTAAGGCCCATTCCAGCATTAATAATCATTAGAAACTTCAAATGCTGCTGCAAACAATTTTGTAAATTAACTTTGGAGAACTTTGCTCTGGCGCTGAATATAATGAACATATATCCTTTGTGTTAATTAATAGAAACAGCCTTGTTATTATAATACGGCAATGATTCAGCAATAATTATAAGTTATATAATAATTATAAGCTGAGCTAAGTAAAACACTTCCACCTAAAAGCAATTTCATATATGATTTTCATTGTTTTCACTCACCTTTGTGCATTTGATTTTCATGTTTTCGACATTTTGCTCGTCTATTTTGAAACCAAACCTGAAAATATGCAAAGGTAAATTGAGAGTTCAAGCTGAATTTTGCCTGTGGGGTTTTAGAAAATGTGTATTATTTATTGAGTTTTGTAAGAGTTCTTCGAGGTATTAATGCAATAATAAACTGTTGGTATTGCCTCAGTCACCATTATCTTTATTGCACTCATCTTGCTTTCTTTGGTTAAGTTTAATAATCTCTAAGGAGTTCATACATTAGAAAGTCGGAAATTTTGTAACATAAGGGTAAATTGAAGCTGTGTATGTAATATATGTCTAGGTAGATATGTTCTTGATCAGCCTGAAAAGGTTAGCTGATTTAGCCATGTCCGTATAAACCATCTGATTTTAGAGACTATGGAGTTAAGTTCTTCAAATTTCAAATATAGATTCTCAAAACGCAGATCAGCTTTATTTAATTTAATCGATAAATAAGCGCGTTTGCGCATATCGATAGAAATCGATTTCCGATAGCAACCAAAAACACAATTGAAAAGATAAAGTCTTGCAATTGATATATTATTGATTAACTGTTATAATTTGTGTTAAAATGTTTGTTAACAAAAACATATTTCCATTTTGAACAAAGAACTATAGGCAAGCCGGCTATCAAAGAGTACAGAAACACTTATAGATTTTTTTATAGTCTTTGATTTTGCGGATAGGTAAAACACGTCAGGTTCAGGGAATCTCACAGTCGCCATCTCCACTAGTTTTTTACTTGTTTCAACCTCTAACATCATAGACAAATACTGCTAATCTGATCTTTAACTGACCAAAGGTCTACATTACACTTTTGTTTTTGGGCAAATGGACAACAAGTTTTTAGAGCACTAAGTGTAAGCAGTGCTCATCGAATAAATTGAGTTTAGAAGACATGTGGAAGGGCATTGTAATTTATAGCACTTGTAGAGACCAGTAGGTTGTTCATATATTACCACATAGCGGTCCATTAAGAACCGCCCTGATTGAGCATTTAAGTTGTAATCGGCCCCCTGTTGTTACAACGATTTTTCTTACTTGGGCATAATTGTAACGAAGGGCGGCGTAAACCACTTAACACCCCATACATACTTGTATATCCTTGGGTGTGTGCTGGTGGTTGAAAAGTCAAATTTGTAACTTGAACTTGGGGACAACGAACAGCGAACAACGAACAACGAGCACAACTACAATTCTAATGAATAACAATTGAATTTCAATTTGTTCTGTCTGTCTGCCGACTGGGTGAATTTGTCTTCATCTAGTTACCACACCAGATACCAGAGATATGGTCACAACTTATGACACCCAATAATTAATTACCTGCACTCGTGCCTCACTCAGTCCCAGTCGCTGACTCAGCTCCTCTCGCATAAAGGCATCTGGATAGTGGGTCTCATCGAAGAGTCTCTCCAGTTCGTTCAGCTGTTCGAGTGTGAAATTTGTTCGAGATCGTCGCTGTTTACTACTCAATCCGGACGATTCAATTCGGGATAGATTCTCTCCGATGTTGGCTTGTGGCTCTGGCGATATTGATTTCTCAGATACATTCGCCGCCGACTTGTGCAACGATAGTTCTGGGGAATTGCTGTCATTTGAACATTCGTTTAAGTTTATTGTAATTGTTGCAGAAGTTTTCATTTCTGTAAAATGTGTACATTAAATATTAGAATACACTTTATGTTACAGACTAGAATATACTCCAATCATAGTATTTAAATATACCTCAGCGCAAACTAGATGTTTCACATCGTATTATAATTATTATTATTATCATATAATATAACCATACCCAAAGAAACCATACCCAAAATTAAAACTCTTATGACATTATACATATTTTGAGTACTGAATTTGCATATTTACTTGGCGTTGCATCGATATCATAGAGCTGCATATCCTTAATACACTTGCTGCTGGTCTTACAATCTGATTCTTGGCATTTTGAGCCCGGATCACCATCGCTTTTGGCACTACTGTTAGCCGTATTTGGATTATTCGCACTTGGATCACTTAAGCGAGCAGGCGAATCCTTTCCACATTTATCATCTGGAATTGCAAAAACCGAATAGAATTGTTGGGAAATTCCCAGCATATAAGAAAAAAAACCAAGAAAGAACAGCAATCGTAGGCTTGCCAAAAGAATACATACTCCGTAAACCAGAGTCATATTGCCAAAGTCTAAAATTCACTGTAAATTTAAAAAACCGTTTATTTGTTTCTAGTGATGATATACGATATTACGGTTCGATCTTAATAATTGTATTTTAAAAGTGGAATGTATAATAATACGAATATTGGGTAAGTTTGGATTGGATATCTGCAGAAGCAAAACAATGCTGTTAACAAAAACTTTTGTTTGGATAGCCTGCATCAAAAAGACAGATCGAGTTTAAAAACTGAGGGACTAGAAACAGACAAGCGGCATCGCTACCTCGATGGTTATATTGATTGGATACTGATCACGAATATATACATTTTGCAGTTCAGTTTTCTCACATCTTAACTTCACCATAGATTTACAAATCGAACAGATGATTCTCTATCTATGCACTGTATTCGCATTACCCTGACCTCCATGAACTCTGGCTACTTGGAGAAGGTGCGCCACTTGATTAAGTTAGAACGAACTATATAAGTCTAGACCGTATAACAATCAAGATTATTCGTCTCACCACCCGTAAGACTTCTGGCGTGGTGCAAATGAGATTTACAAAGCAGATGATTGATTTTTAGTCTTCAATTGAGATTTAATTTGAAACTTTTAAACCTTTTTAAAATATGTGGACTGTTTTTAGTCTTCTTTAAATAAATAGTCTTAAATAAATAAATTCAAAACTTAAAAATTAATAATTATATTATATGAAAGTGGAAATATGTATTAAAGGATTTAGGTTTTTGTAAGATGTAGATTTTTAATTAATATATATATATATATATATATATATATATATATATGTAAACTATGTTATTTATTGTTGATTAACTTTTAAAATATTTACTAAGAAATTTGTTAAGCAAAATTTGATATTAAAAAAATGAGAAACAAAATTAATAAATATATTTATACATTTAGCAACATGTTTTTAGGGACTTTCGTCTTTGAACGTTCATCTTGAGTAATTCATACTCCCAAATCTCAGTTTCCACGAAGTATAAATAAATTCCTTGTCAGCATCAGTTGTCATTTAGCTGACATAGAAACTATCTGTTCTTGTTTGAATACTATTTGGATTACATCCAGTGTTTTTCAAACTCCCAATTAAATTATCAATTTAAAACTATAATTCTCAAAGAGGAGCAATTAATGAGTTTTATAATTTACAATGTATATAGTAGTAATCTACAATAAAATATATCTTCTGGTTGCCTTGGATCGCTTCTCCTTCTCCTTCTTGTTCAAATTTAAATTTCATCTGAGCGTAAGTAAAATAAATATTGCAAGTTTTAGAGAAGATTTGTAAGCTTTAAAACAAAATTGTGTTGGACTTTTGTGAATTTACATATACTAATTCCCCGAAATACCTTCTGAATGTGCGTCCGTCTCCAATAGATCCGATATTAACCAGTTTTTGGGCTTTGGCGCAGGTTCAGTCTTACGAAAGTGTTCACTTGGCGAAATAGTCACAATTGATTTCTGTTGAAGCGAACGAATTTTGACCAGCGATATTGGTTTGGACACAACCGTATCATCCTCATAGCTGCTGTCCTCCGCCGCCGAAACATCGGTTATATCAATATCCATGGACTCATCCTCATTGACGCAATTATCCACCGAATTTCGATCCAAACGATTTGTGTTCACTAAAATGGATTTGGCTGTTGCTGCATCGGCTAGTTTGTGGATGCGGGCACTTGTCATTGAGTTAAACAAATGATTAACGCGATTATTGGTTAAATTGAACTCGAACGATTTGTTTACAAACTGTGCTAATTGCTCCATGTTTCTCACAGTTCACCAATATTATTATGGCAGATGTTGCACACTTTTACTCCGTTGCATAGTTGCTTTTACACAATGAAACGCTCGACTACTTCGCAGGCAAGGCCAATCGCATTACAGGTCCTTTGCCAAACCAAATAAAAACTAACACAAAGAACCCACTCAGCCTGCCTCAGTTGAGGAAATTTTTCTATTTCGCTCTTGAAATGCTGCGCATGCCATTCAGCTCCGTTTCCGGTTTTGGATTTTTTTGTTGCTCCTTCTGAACTTCCTTGAGAGAGAAAAGATACGTTGTGAAATCAACAAGCGTAATGCAATTGGAATGAGTATGCTTTTGCAATTAGCACATACTTGCTTAAACAAACAACTAAGTAGATCCTTATGACCATATTCAAATCAATAGAACATTTATTAATCTACAATTGCAATTATAAGTTGTCAACTTTGACACTACTTCTCAATTTGATTTCCATTTTATACGGTTCACTAAATTTTCCCACTTGTTTTATATATTTAAGGTAATGTATTATTATTATTTTGGTTTAACTGAACATTTATAGTGCTCTTTGCATAAATTGCTCAATTCATGGCGCTCGCTCTTTTTGGCACTGTGCACTGGCAACAACCCCTAAAAATCGTACGTAGAATATAAGGTGTCGCCCTGCCTACGTGTTTTCAATTTATTCTCATTGGTCTTTACGGGGCTGGTTGTTGTTCTTGTCAAGTGGTTGTAGGTCTGCTGGCTCAACCCTACTTTACTGTTATTGGTTATATGGCCGTTTTATTCTGTATACACACATTAAGCGTGTATAAAACACCTAATAATTTGTCTGTGCAATCGCAATCGCAATCGCCTATGTGGGTGGAGTTTCATATTTGATGTTGCCACTAGCTTACCCTTGCATAAATACCTCCACATTACTTCAATTTCCCCCTCAAAAAAAAAATTAAGAAAACATCTTTATATATATATTCAATATTGGAATTTAAAGTGCAAGTCCTAATCAGAATGAGCTACATTTAACATGTAATTTTTAAATGTGTTTGGCAATCAAGCTCGCCTCGTGATAATCTTTATTTTTATGCAGCAAATTACTCGTGGTTTATTTATTTGAGTACTCTAAATAAGAGAAATGAGTATTTTAAATATTGTTGACTTCTTGAACAGTACGCAGAACTATTGCTGCTTTCACACGGAGTGGCATATTCGACGCAAACTGTTGCAGTTCAAAATTCCGTCGGCCTCAAAACTCGCTATTAAAATGCTTTTAATAAAAACTCTTATTACTGTTCGATTATTATTTTAAGTGCAGTTTTGCTGAGCTACAATTTTTTCCTTTTTTACGAGTGATTCTGGTCTCATTGACATACTTAAGATTTCAAGAACACATTGCGTTTGACATTAGTCGTAAATAATGCAACTCAAGTAGAACTCAAGAAATAATCGCCATATTCTCCTACAAAATTAATCGCCAAAAATATTCAAGGTTAAAAACAACCATACAACAATCATAAAATAGTAGATAATTTCAAAATACAAATAAAACAACATCCGTTTTGGGGTTTTTTGAAGGCATTCGAGCATTTTCTGTTTCTGTTTAATGGTGTACGCTTTGACATCACAGACTTATAACTAACATACAATACATGCACATACATATAATCTGATACTATAGTTAAAAGCAACATATAATTATGACTTGAGATTCGAAGCTATAAGAGCTATAATTGTAGTTTTATGCTTGCAGAACTTTTAATCTCTATCTTTGCATATTCTTGACGTCATTTCCTGTAGTGGTTCCAATTCCTTGCTCGATATCAGTTCAAATTCCTGCACAAAGTAATAAAAATGCTTATAGCAAGCATTCACATGCGCTTCCTGCAACAAATAACATATATTAAATCTAGCAATCTGTGTTGTTTTACTTTATTAAATAATACTTACGGCGCCGATAGTGACGATCCTATCAAAGTGATGAATGTAGACATGGACAAAGACGCGAAATAATCTTGTTAAAATCTTGCGACTAAGTGACACAAACGTTTTTGGGAAAGGAACATCTGCAAACGAGAAAAATAAATAATTCATTTAAATTTGTTATTTATTTATCTGCCTGTAAATTAGTTGCACACTCAGAAAGTGAATTTTAGCTTTAATCGCTTTGCAATTCGAAACTTTAACAAAGAGCAAGGAGTTTGCAAAAGACTGATTTACATGTTGAGCTCATTATTGAACTTGTAACTAGTCATTTTTGCAAGTTGTTCATACAAGAACACTTCTTTCGAGCTGATATAGTTGATATGACAAATCATATATGCACATACATATGTTCAAGATTGTCTTACAACTGAGGGACTATTTGCATGTTGAGAGCATTATAAAACTTGTAACTAGTCTTTTTGGTTTAGATTTTGGAAAACAAAAAAGTTATTCATACAAGAGCATAACAAATCTACTTCAAATCAAAGAGATAAATACATGTTTTAAATTTCATTAGGATTGCCTTACAGCTGACAGACTAGTTTACATATAAGCAAATAGATATTGCTATATCAAATCGGTTATTAACCGAGGCTCGCAGACGTCTCTTTGAATACGCTATCCAAAATTAGAATACCCTATAAGAAATATCCTACCAGTGGAAACGGGAAAAACGGCTTCGTTGTTAATCTGCGTCTCAATCCAGTCCATGAGCAGCTCAATATATTTCTGTGCAGGCAGCGCAGTGGGTTTCTTATATCTGGGAAAGGCGGTTTATTTTAATAATTTAGTCAATAAAGATATATAGATATACTCACAGATCTCCATCAGCCCATAAATACTCATATCGCGAGCCACCTGACATTGTGGGACATGTTGTTTCATTGCAGTACTCGGAAACGGTGCCGTAAATCAGATTGATGCGGTTGAAAAAGTCAACGACTACATAAATTCACACGTCATTTACTTAATGAATTTATTTGTATTTATTTATAGTTACAAACCGTGCACCGCCAACCAGTCATTCATATTCTCGCCTTCCGGCAGCCGCACCACTTGCCGCAAATTGATGCCGGACTGTAGGCTGGCCTGGGCCTGTTTGTGCAACGAATAGCGAATGGTGCCAGCCGTGAATCTCTTTTTCGGCCTGAAAGTCTACAAAAGAATAAATATGCATATGAATTATGGATTAGCGCAACGCATTTATTTACTTAAATAGAACACGATGCGGTGATTGGAAATGTGCGAAAAATTACAAGCAAATATGCAACTTGGTGGCATACTTAGGCCCATACTCTCATACGTACACACACATTTCCCTTATGAAAGAATTCGAGAAACCCATTAAGGGCCATTTTAGTTGTCTTTTGATTAAAATATTTGTCTTAACAATAATTGAAACTATTAGCGAAACATATGTAAACACAGTGTGACCAACGATGGACACTACAAAATACATTAAAAATAAATGTGCGCCACTGTGAACTTAACTATCGAATAAATGTTATCAGCAGAACCACACCAATTACAGTACACTAATAATTATTTTTTATTTATGAACATTATATAAATTCGGGCTTATATTTTTATGTAGTGTTTTTTAAATAATGCCACAATGTGATGTACACACGAAATAATATAACGTTGAATACGATATTATCGATATACGCCTATCGAAAATTGATCGAAGCATCGTTGTCGCCATGTTGTTTAGCAAATTGTGCATCTCTGTTTTGTTTGTGTATTAAAAAAATCTAAAAATTGCAAAGAAAAGAAGTAAATAATGTTCTACGAACACATAATATTGGCCAAAAAAGGCCCGCTAGCCAGAATTTGGCTAGCAGCACACTGGGACAAGAAAATAACAAAAGCCCACGTCTTCGAGACGAATATAGAAAAGTCAGTGGAGGGAATTTTACAGCCAAAAGTAAAATTGGCGCTACGCACTTCGGGTCATTTACTGCTTGGCGTCGTCCGAATCTATTCGAGAAAAGCTAAATATTTGCTCGCCGATTGCAATGAGGCATTTGTCAAAATCAAAATGGCATTTAGGCCGGGCATGGTCGATTTGCCCGAGGGCCACCGGGAGGCGAATGTGAATGCGATCACATTGCCCGAGGTGTTCCATGATTTTGATACAGCGCTGCCCGAATTAAATGACATTGATATCGAGGCCCAATTCTCTGTGAATCAATCGCGTGCCGATGAGATCACAATGCGTGAGGATTATGGCAGTTTATCGCTGTCGCTGCAGGACGATGGCTTTGGTGACATTGGTTTCGAGGCGGATACGCCAGAGATGATGCGTGGTCCCTTGTCGGGCAATATGAACGATCAGCTGTTCGATGATGATGTGTTGGCCAATGTTGTGGAACCCAATGATCCCAATATCAGGCTAACACAATCCGAAATGCCCAGCGATCGGCTGGATGGCGACGGTTTTGGTGACTCCTTTGGCCAGCCAACACTATTCGAGGACGATCTGTTTGGCGAACCGCCACAAACGGTGGGCATCAATGAACAATCGGCTATCAATGAGGCTAACAATCCACCTGATTATTCGGATGACGATGGCATGGGCAAGTTCGATGATGCTCCATCGCCGGCTTCGTCGTGTGCCGATTTGGCAACCGGTGACAAGGAGGATGACTTTCAGGAGAAAGATCACAGTTTCAGTGAGGATGTGAATGCGTGTGGCGCTGATGCCGCCCTAAATGACATGACTCTCGTGCAAAACGATGACGAGGGATTCGCACTGGCGCCCATCGATGCAACCACTTATAAGGGTGCCACAAAAGCGAAGCGCAAGCGAAAACTCATCATCGATGAGGTCAAGAATATATCCGGTGAGGAGATGAAAGCACAACTAGCAGATACATCCGATATACTCACTACCCTGGATCTGGCACCACCAACAAAGCGGCTAATGTACTGGAAGGAGACGGGTGGTGTGGAGAAACTATTCTCGCTGCCCTCGCGCACTATTCCCGCACGAGTCCTTTTGAACAATTACAATCGCCAGCTGGTTTCACATTCGACACAATTGGAGGACTTCTCAAACATTGCACCCATGGATGTGCTCGCACTGGAACTCTATGCCCAGGAGGGCGAGAGCTCCATCATCATTGTGAACAAAAAGGGACGCAAGCGTAAAAATGATTTGACTGCGAATGCAACTGCAACGGATCCGGCTGCAGACAATACGCTCACACAGAGTTTGGCGGCACCCGAAATGATACGAGAACAGGAGAAATCGTTGGGTGCGTCAGCCGTCTCGTTGGATATAACGACAAAGGAACAGCAGGAGAGCATGGGTCCAGCACAGAATGATGCCACCATATTCGATAATATGCGTAGTCCGGCACTGTTATCGTTCAATGACATGGATAACTTCTCTAATCTCAATGAGTTGCCACTGACGCCACGCGATGGCCATCATCATGACATGGGCGATGATTTCCATCATGGTGATCTAACGCCCGCTGGCTTGGAGCATGGACAGATGACGCCACGACATGGCGGCGGCATTGGCGACATTGATTGTATGCCCAATTTGCCACCCGATCAGGTCAGCTCGATACTGAACGAAACGGAATCGAATGTGAACAACTTTAACAAGACATGCGAAATATCAACGGATTGGAATGATTACGATTTCCCACCATCGGTGGGTGGTCTGCCCAATGCACCCGCTGACGAGCAAATGGAAAATGAGACGGACGAACAGTTTGAGGAGCGTGTGCTGAACAAGCGAGCTGCTCAACTCTTTGTCGATGTCAGAGTTCATTTCAATAACAATGATCACTTGACCCTCTCCCAGTTAACCGTGCGCAACTCGAGGAAACAAGCTGCACAGAAATTCTACTCGCTGCTGGTGTTGAAGAAGTTTAAGGCGCTTCACATTACACAGTCGGCGCCGTATGCGGATATAACCGTCACTCGTGGTCCCCTCTTCGACAATGCCAAATTGTAATTGGAAGCCGGACAAGGACAGCGATAAGAATTCTAATTTTATTGCCTATAAACGTATACACATATTTATAATTTTGTAATAAAACCCTTTTATGTACACGTATCAGATTTGTAAAGAAAAAAACAAAAAAAAAAAAAGAAAGCCATTACAATTTTCGGTTCTTTTTATAATACATATTATTTAGAAAGTATTGCAGTATTTATTTTATGATGTTTAATGATTTCAAGTATACTTAAATTATTTAACATTTATCATGTTTCAATTATGCATTATGTGTACAACAAAAGCAAATGTTATTATTATACTTAAAACATTGTCGGCTAATATACAAATTGTTTAACTATTAGATGGAAATAGCTTTTCGTATTTCTTCTAGACAATCTGGATTTGCCATGGTAATAAAACTCCACAAAACTGTAAGTAGAACTGAATTCAACAAGAACTAAAAAGGATTATAATCCATTCATATATATCATTTACAGATGGGCTGGATCAGCATTAAGGGACACCTCATCAGAAGTCCCATTTGGAGATCATCGATAAAATACAGTACACCTAAACTGTAAACGCCTTGTAAAGAGCATTTGAAGAGTTTTTTGTAGCATAAATGTTGTTCCATTAGAAGTAGGACCATCAAACAGAGTTTAGCTTTTAAATTTTATTATACAGGCATCATCACAATCTTAAAAGCAAACACAGCAAAACACACACATGTAATTTGAATCATAGAATATTTACAAGTATGAAAGTACAATAAACATTATATATATATATATATATAAAACGACTTTATTCCACATTGTCATAGATGTCCTCCATGCCAGGCACATCTCGTAGCTTTTGCACAAACACATTATACGCCTTGTGATCCTCTTCACTCAACTGGACTAGATTCTGTAAGGAAACAAAACAAGATATTACCTTACTTTTTTGAAGATATATATTCGCTTTTAGAGTGCTTACATTTGGTGTGAAAATATGCTCGCTATTTTCAATCGTGTAACCATTTTGTGCCAATGTCTTACTGAGCCCACTCAATACAATTGGACTGCAAATAAACTGAGAGCAGAAAGTGTAGTTTAAAATAATCTGATATTTATAATTATTCGCATAGCAAATTTAACTTACATTCACTGTCGCATTCTCGGAATCGACAATTTCCACTTCTTCGGCGCCAAATTGAATGGCATCCTCAGTGGCCTTCTCCTCCAAACTGCAGCCATCTTTGGCCAATGCTGTGGGATCGTAACGCGTCTCGATTAGGCCGAAATCTTCGAACATATGGCTAACATCCACAAGGACACCGCTGCAAGAGTATGTTCAACTTGAGTTTGAGTTATAAAGTTGATCATTTTTGTATGGCTAGCAACTGAGCTTACCCAGCTTTTTTAATCATTGGCGTTGCATCCATTTTGAGACCCTGCAGATTATCACTATATATGCAACAGATCATATATACATTCCTCCTGAATCGTATGTCCATTCGATGCTTTTTCAGCTGCGCTTTGTTGTGCTGACACTTCTTGATCGTATTCTGTATCGTTCCAATCGGCATATTCTTCTTCAGCGCATTATCAATTTCCGATCGGAGCAGAGAATTTACAGCCGGATCACCAGATTTGCCCTCCTGCACAGCCAGGCGGATTTGTCGGGCAATCTTTGTGAAAAGCGCCGCTCGCAATCCATCTTTTTGCGCCTTGATGTGCTTTATGTTCGCCCATTTTGAATGGCCAGCCATGCCACGTACCGTCCATTCATTTGAAATGAATTTTATATTTTGAATTCCGAACCGGGTGCAATGTCGTAACATTTTGAACAAATTCTCTTTGGATGCATATAAATTCGTATTTCTTGTTCTTATTCAAAAATATACACATGGGTCGTGAGTATAAAGTATCGATACCAAATACATTTGAAGACAGGGCTGTTATTGTAAGTATGAATTGATTGAGTTTTGTGTGTTTTTTAACTAAACAATAAACTGCGGATTCCAAAATCTTTTTTGATATAATTAATATATCCGTATAATTAATATTTTCTCTGCATAATACCAATATATTTAATACCAAATTTTTAAGCCTGCATTACTGTATTTTACTTTCGTATTTATGGTCACACAATTAAATACCAAAACAATTGCTTGTTTACTTTTTTCAGCAACTATTTAAAACATAAATATCTGTGAACGCCTAGTTTGAAGCTGGTGAAGTTATAAAATTAAAAACAAATTTAAAAAATACTAGAAATATAGTAAGTAATATATTTAGTAATATAAATATAGTAAGTAATATATTTAAAGTTAACTGTGACCAGTCTTAACGTTTTTCTATATAAACATAATACTTTTCCTTTACACATACATTCACACAAACAGTTTCTTTATTTCTTTTGAATGGTGAAGAAACCGGTTTTTGCGTTAAATGTGCGCTTAAGACTTAAAGAGCTTTTTCTGTGCTTAAAGGTTGTTCGTCTTGCACAATTTGCTAAAAAACAATAGTTTGAGTTAGCTGAGTGGTGAATGAAGTACGATCGGCTTATTGAAAAATCAAATCTGGCAAAAAATCAACTGTTTTGTAATAAATACATTTGTGTAAGTGCAAGTCATTTGTGTAGTGCACCTTCTAATTGTCTTTCTAATAAGTACTACTACTTGTGCTATGGCGACCACTTTCAAGGTTGTCTGAGCTCGTTTTCTTCTTCTACATCTAAAACTGCACATTTTTAAATAACACATAAAAGCCTTCGCTTTTATGCATCCTAATAAGGAATATGATAAAAACTTGGTTTTTGTTTACGTGTAGGCGATGTTTAAAGTGCTGACGCAGCTTTTAATGTTGATGAGATCATTATGAAGTGTGCTCACAGGTGAAGGTGAAAGACTCAACTCAAAGACCGTGTAAAAAAGAAGAAAGAAAAAAAAATATATATAATTTTACTGAAATTTGACCCAAGTTTGCTATAAAAATATATGTGTAAGATATGTCTAGTTTCAGTTTCATGTCTAGAAATATATATATGCATATATAAAGATTTTTCCCTTTATGTTTTTCATAAATATTTAATTATGATTTATTTTAATTGTAGTCAATTCATCCATTATGAAGCACAGTCTATTGGCGATCTTTGTGTTTGCAACACTACTGTGTGGCACATGGGCTACCCTTAGTGGCAAGGCTATTCTCAAGGAAAAGGATATGATGAGGAAAATTGTATTCGACAAGAAGACACCAGATGTATTTTATTGTCCCATACAGAAGCCGTCGTCGATGAGCAAAATTATTGTCACGTAATATTCATATTTTAAATTTTTCTCAAATACTGTTATTTTATCTATAAATATATCAATTTGAAACTTGATCAGAGCACGGCCCCTGCACAAGTTGTGCGAATATGAGGGAAACCCATTGCCAGCCGAATATAAGTCGGACTGCTATCTGGATATTGATGAGTCCGATTATGCATGCAAGGAGAAATACAGAATTATGGTAAGCAATGTGTATTTGTTATGCGCAGACACGCATTCAAGTAAGTCCATTCATACGAATGTAGTTTCTCTGCTCTGTTCGCCCGAGCAGTTGCAATGTAATTTTATATTATCACGTTTGGTTGAACACATATGCGTACAATAGAAAAAAGCAACACAGTACAATGTTCAGGTTGTTGAAGTTTAAATACCTTGCACTGCTTGGTAAACTCGTCTTAAATGAAGTATCTCGAATTGAAAGCAAAATTCAAGGTTGCAACTAATGTCTCTGTTTTATATTGAATTTATTTTAGACACGTTGTCAAACCGAAGCGCATTTTGATTCCGGTTCTAGCGAAAAAAATTCCAAAAAATAATATGAATATTCTCTAGAAAATTAAATGAATATTCTCCAAATCATTACAAAAGTTTGAGTAGCAACGAGTTTTATCATATACTACATTGTTTTGGTTAATTCTAATATGAGTTCAGCTTACTGATTCTTACAAAAATATTGAATTTCGTTTTGGATTGTTTTTGCAGTTGGTTAATGTTAGTTAACTGTTTCCGTTCCGGTTTGACACCCATGTCTTAAGCCAAACCACCGCCACCGTTAAAGCAATATCTGTTTGGTTCGGTTATTTATGATATAAGTCCTGATGTGAACCGGTTCGAACCACATCCATTTATAATTATGGGAAACCAAAGACTATAGAGATTGACAATCAATAATTATCGTTTGTAATACCCATTAAACCCAATTTAAATAACGCACATTACTTATTTCTAAGAACACCATCGATTTATAAATTTCACATCGATTTAGAAAAATAATTCACCATTTTATTTGTATGTATCTACATATATATTTTATAGCCCATTGTTTTTGTAGCACTCATACACTAAATACCAACAAAATAAGTAATATCCCTCAAGACATTCTAATACTGAGTTTTATTTAATTACAGAAACGATTCACCAAAGACGAACCCTAATTAAATATTCACAAACAACACAACAAAACAAAAATTTACAATTAACAGCTTATTGTACATTTTCATTGCACCAAATGCTGGCAGCTTTGAGTAACTGGATAACACAGCTAAATATCGCAATTTGTTGCTGTACTTAACCTACATACAAATACATATACATATATATATATATATAATTATACCTATGAATACACTACTTACCACTATTACATATAATTAATTAATTGAAGTAATATATACATAAATACTACCAGTAGTTTAAATATTGAAATTTATCTTAGCTGAGTTCAATCAAGCTGAAAATTTATTACAAAATTTATTTATTTTGCCCTTATTAAAAATCTACTTTTCTATCTACTCTTCCTTCCTACCTTTTATTCTAGGAAAAGGACCACTGAATTTTTCTAAAAAAGATTTATTATTATATTTTTTTTACATACTTTTGACGTGTGAACTCAGCTAAGTGCAATTGAATTTATTATGGGGTTGTTAATAATTATGATAAAAGAATATATAGCTTGACATGATAGAAATATGATTTACATTAATTTGTTAATCAATCTATTAAAAAGAATACAATTCTTAAAACATGCTCATATTATTTTTATCATGTCTTCCATGTATATTTAATGGAAATTGGTTTGGGGGTATTCGGATCAAGTTTATATTTGCGTTAAGTATGTGCAAAAGTGTAAGTATAAATTCATTTAAGTATACGCACGTGAAGAAAACATTTAAAACTTCATTTGAGTAATTTGTGTGCTTTCTTTTTATAACTATTTAGATGCGTAAATTTCCACCAGGCAGCGAAGAACCATTCAACGGCGCCCGACTAAAGCGATTCATGAATTATGATAAGGAATTCAACTAATGCTCTGGAATTCCTCACTTATGTAGCTGTGAGGTATTGAACTCTGTTGAACTTATTTTAGAAATAAATATGTTTTTCAAATTGTGCGACCCCATTAAGTATATATATTCTTCTTCAGCACCAAGATTCGAGTCGATCTCGCTTAATATACACATGTATGAGAAAAAAAAAAATAATCCAAGCACAAAAACATGTTAACAAATTAAGCGTAACTCACAAAATAAATAAAAAATAATTGAAATGTAATTGTCATTTTCTTGCAGCTAATTTCTTTAATAAAAAACTACAAAAAATATAATATAAATATTTCTATATTACACAGATGAGCGCTGACTTACGGTAGCCACTGTTTGTGAGGTGATGTAAGTCTGAAAGTGTATTTGTCAACCGTATATGTCACTTCTGGATGGAAATATGAGTGTACATAAATAAACATTTATATTTAATTTTTTTGTTCGTTCTTATCAATGAATAATAGAATTGCGTCTTCTATTCAGACATTTCATTTACCCTGTCTCACGTCATTCATTCAGTCTTGTTCCAGATCGCAGCATCTGAATTTCAATTTGAGTTTCGTTTCAGCATCGCAAGATGAATAAATACGTGGCTCTGATTTGGGCAGTGCTGCTGATCTTTTTGGAGGCGGGAGGCGTCCTGGCAGACAGCGATAGCGATAGCGATAGCAGCAGCAGTGGACACCACAAACACAAACACAAGCATAAATACAATAATCCGGCGTATCCTACTGCACCATTATACCCATATGGTTATCCTTATCCGTATCCATATGGCCAGCAACCGTATACTCAATATCCACTTCCACCATACGGCCAACAGCCCATGAATCAATATCCCAGCCAACCGCCTATGAACCCATACCCACCCAGTGGGTATCCACCCAATCAGCAGCAGCAGCCGCAGCAGCCTTATAGCCCATACATGCCACCACCGGGTCCACCTGCACCACAATATGGACAGCAGCCTCCATATAATCCCAATCAGCAGCAGCCTCCATATGATCCCAATCAGCAGCAGCCTCCATATAATCCCAATCAGCAGCAGCCTCCATATAATCCCAATCAGCAGCCTCCCTATAATCCCAATCAGCAGCAGCCTCCCTATAATCCCAATCAGCAGCAGCCGCCAGCTTCGAGTGTTATAAATCACTCACTTAAAGTGAACAAAGAGTACAAGGAGGATTATAGTAAAAATCAGACCCAATAATAATAATAATGAATATAAATAAAAAATGCAATGTAATATGTAAAATGCAATAAACGTTCGAAAGAACTCATATTAAAAGTAAATAAGTGATTTCTAACAGTGAAATTGTAATATAAGAAAGTTGATCTAATGACATATTTATGGTCAAAATAATGAGTACACAACTTGCCTCTACAATTTAAATATTTCATGTACGAGTCAAAAATAATAATACATAAGAAACATAAAATATGTATATATATATATATATTTATTAGAGTTCAATCGCTTCGGTCGCCCTTGGCCTGTTATCACTGTTTTAAACAAACACATGTTCTAGAATTCGGTCTATGGCTGTTATCTATAATAATTTAATACACACATGCATATAAATTGTCTGCCCATAATCATTTGAGGCGGATAAGGCTGTCTGCTTTTTATTTAAAAAAAAAAAATAAGACAGACACAATTAAAAACTATTTTCTGTTCTTTTCTCTAAGTCTTAGATTTTATATTTAATAATTTTAAATGACATGGACAAAACTTTGAATGAAAACCCACCACAGTCAATGTGGCCACACTTGAGGTATTTTTTGCTAGTATTTTATATTGGTATTTGGCAGCGGTATTTTTTAAAGCTAATTTAACATTGGTCAAAACTAGTGCATTGTATTTGTGAAACAACAGCAGCAAATAACTACAAATAAAACAATTCGTTTTTTGCTGTGAAAGTTATATCATAAATAATGCGTAAAAGAAGTGTTTCATTGATTTGTGTTGTTTTTGTGTTGCTTGTGCAAATTAAAAAAGGTGAGTGAAATTGCTGGTTGCCTTTTCGAATGCAGAAGTGCTGCACTTTTATGTTTTGTTTTGCTGCGCGATCACATGTACCTGAGTGTGTGTGTGTGTGAGTGTTGTATATGTATGTGTCTGTGCGCGGTTTGTTTTGTTATTCGATGCGTAAATATAATTATAATTAAATTAGGCATTTGCGCGCTTTAACATAGGTGTGACAAGTTCTTCTCGTTAACAATTCTATATAATAGAAAATGCACAGATAAATTTAGCAGTTGAAAAGTCAATGCGCCTGTTGGAATTGTGGCAGCCTTTGCCTTCCGTAAAATCAACAAATTGCTGAGAGTTAATGTCATGTTTATAAAATTAATTGCATTAATATGAATATGACTATGGCACATTAGCATTTTTCAAATATGTTATATGTAGTTGCAATGTTTACAAATTGTGTGCATATATATACATTTGTATACAACAAGTCTCCTGTTTGGTTTTGTAGGGTTGCCATCACACTTTTGAATTTGGCATTTTTAAATTTTTAGTATTTACGTTTCACGCTGCAAATACGCTGTTTATGCTTGTGGAATGTTATGTTCAAATTGATGTTATGTTCAAATTGGGTTTTCTTGTTTGCCTAGTAATATACATTTAAAAAAATATGAATTATTTTATACAGTTGCGAAACAAATAATACTACTATTTCGAACTTTTTTCTAAACATTAGTTTTGCAATTTTTCCAAATATTGATCTTTAATAGATTTTTAATATTACCTAAATTAAAGTTTGTATTATCTAAATTATAGTTACTACTCCTCGAATTATTTTCAATAATATATAAATTTTTAAAGAAATCGTTGATGTATTTCCAATTTTCATAATTATAAATGACCATTTCAAAAATCTGTATAATGTTTTAATTATAATTGAATTGAAATAAGTTGAAGAGTCTACTTCCACTTTCAAAAACATTTTCATAAGTTCCTTGGACTTACAGAGACGTTTTGACAACATTTCTCTTGAGAGAAGTGCTATTATTTTTTTTCGCAACTGTATATATGGTAATCTGTGGCAAGTTGTATAATTTATGACTGCTGCCGCCGCTTCAATTTAATGGCAATGTTTTTCTGGGAACGTAACACAATGCCATACTCGAAAATAATGTCTTCCAGTCGGGTCACAGGTAAAAGTTGAAAATTCTGCAATATGGCTACCAGCAGCACTTTCATCTCCAAAATGGCAAACTTTTGACCAATACAATTCCGTTGTCCGGCACTGAATGGAATAAATGCGAACGGATGACGATTTACGGAATTTTCAGGCAGAAATCGCTCAGGCTGAAATTGAGAGGGATTGGGAAAGTGCACTGGATCACGCATTATATCGTAGATATGCAAACAGATTTGGGAGTTCTTGGGAAGGATCAGACCATTCACCACACATTCCTCCGTGCAGAAGCGTCCCACAAATGGCACAGAAGGAAAAAGACGTAGCGACTCCTTAATCACACACTCCAAGTAGACCAGCCCATTGAAATCGAACACACTCAGCTCCTCATTATCCTTGTCGCTCAGTGGCTGCACTTCCTCAAAGCAGCGTTGCTGGACATCCTCGTGCAGCGCCAACATGAGCAGCGTGAATATCAGGCAAGTGGCGGTGGTGTCGTAGCCCTCGAACATAAATGTGTTCACCTCATCACAGATGCCCTGATGATCGATGAGACCCTCGTTCTCCGCCTCCAGCAGTGTATCCAGCATCGCATATCGCGATTTTCGCCCAAACTCATCTATCCCATCTATAGATCCAGTCCGCTTCTGTTTGCTCTGTTGTCGCTTCTGCTCGATGATGCGGCTGGAGAAGTCATGCGCTATCTTCAGATTCTCTATGTGCTTTCTATAACTGCCGTACAGGTAGAAATAGGGCTTATAATATAGCAGCGGATTACATACACGCTCTATCATAACGTCCTCCAGGGCGTGTATGGCATTACGATACCGGTTACCTTCTTCCATATCATCAAGTTTTACTCCCAGAGCGGTTTCTGACGAAAAGAATTTAAAAATTAATCTGATAATTTGGATTATGCCAAATATGTTACTTGAGTTGGGCTATACTAAATAGTAAGGCGAAAAAGATTTAAGAAAATATTCGGCAAAGGTTGTAAAAGGTTGTATGTATATATACCTGCAGCTCTGCTATTTAGGTTTCAGAAAAAAATTGTATTTTCTGGCAATCAGTTTTAGATTCGACAACTGAAATATTTGGCTGCATCTCAAATCGCTGCGGCATCTGTTCAGTTGAAAGGTTATCGCTATAAACTGCCGATTATACGAGGCGATTAAAGCAATGCAATCTTTTTGTTTTTTTTTTTTTACCAATGTTTGAATGAGGTTGCACGTAATTTTATATCTTAAATTGAGGTAGATAAATGATTTTGCCGTCTTTTTCTTCTAATTTTTTAAATCTATGCTCCTAGCTTGGTGACTCTATCTTTAAAATTATGGGAGATATGTGGTTTTATCAATTTACTAGTCAGAGACGAGTATATATTTGAAGTTTTAGCTTTAAAGGTGACGAAAATATACTGTATACTCTACTATCTTGGATGTCAGAGTATTAATACATACCGCAAACATTGTTGAGTGTAAACTGTGGAATAACATGATTCAGCTCCAATTCGTCGCCAACATTTTGATGTAAGATATTTAATAATTTGTGGCATTCCTCCCTGAAGTGGTACACAAACTTAATCGTATATATATACGTATATATATCTGATATATATTATTTACGCACTTGAATATGTCTAAAAACATTTGCAGCACATTGAAATGGAAGGCGGGAGTCAGCATCTTTCGTCTAGAGTGCCACTTACGATCTAGAAAACAAAGTGCAACCAGAGATGAGCTTCTATGTGTGAAATTGCCTCAAATCTCTCACCTGTGCTGATAAGTAGGCCCTCACCCATGAAAGGTTTTAGCAGATCGTATACAATATTTTTGGTTAGCAGTTTGGTACTCTGTAAGATTTCGTCAGCTTCCTCAGCGCGCACCACGTTATAAAGTGGTGCGAATAAGAAATACCACAGGTAATTGCGACCCTTGGCTTGTTTATGAGCATCGCGCACAAATTGAAAAACCATCGCTTTGATAACACAAAACTTTGATCACACAAAATATTTCGCTTCTAGAACAACGGGGATCATACTTACAGGGCGTCATTTTGAGCAAATCAAAATTACTACCGAATCTCGTCTTGCCCGGAATCACAAACACTTTGCTGTCCAATGGACTGCCATCCTGGGTCTGTACGCGTTTCACCAGCGACAGGATAAAGTATTTCCGATTGAGGCACTTTAGTAGGGTCCAAAGTGCAACAATTAGCAACCCATAAGTCAATAGCGTCATGAACATAATTAAAATACTAATTCTGTGGCGTTATTCCGACTTAGCAAGCAGTTCAACCATTGAAATCGACTATTTGAACAATATTAAAGCTTATCAGCATTTCTGTTTGTATTTATAAGCATTATTTCCGTACGACAATGTTTAAAAGATTACGCGAAAGCAGATTACTAGCTTCTTTGAACATAATGTACAAATACAATATTTCTATATAAACAGTGTCCTGTGATTCTCCTCAACAGTTTATTTTTTCATTAAATTTCTTTATGTCAAAAAACGTCTACACTATAAATAAGGTGATTTTTATTTTTATTATTATAAATTAAGTCTGCTTGCAATAAATACAGCAATTGCATCTTACCTATTTCGACATATCTATCTAAATATAAATCAAGTTAAAATGCTATAGTCGAAAGAGCTCGACTAGAAGATTATAGTTAACTCAATATAAAAAAAAAACATTTTGGTAAAAAAAAACCTGTGTTTCTTATCAGATTCTTACAGTTCATTAATAGTATGTTTTTAAATTTATTGAAAGAATCTAGACTAAAAGCAGTTTAATAACTTACACAAGTGGTTTATTTGTTTATTAATTATTTTTTTGTCCTCATGCTGTAAATTTTAGATCTATAAATTATTGCGCTAGCCACAAAAGAATTAAATATAATCAGGATACAAATAAATGTGAAATTAATATAAATATTGTTACCTTAGCACAGGTTTTAAGGCCTTAATTTAATTAGGTATTACGATATTAAGAAGCGTTTCATAGATTTGGTTATATGTTGTGTTTATCTTGTGCAGAAAATGGGTTTCTAGCATTCAGAGATTTGCTTAGTTGTAATTTGATGTGCGTTTCGCTGAGATCTGAGGGAAGTTGATACATTTAAAGGCATTTTACAAGCCGTACCAATTTCAGGTTCTCAAAAGCCTCAATAGCAGCAGCATTTAAAATGCCGCATTGATTATCTTCGTCTGCGGGAATGCGTGATTTGGCTAAGAGAATTCATTTTATATCCAAGTGAGTAAATATATAGAGTGTGTACAGAAATGGTAGTGGTCGCAATTACAATTGCATTTGAAGCAAACGAAGAGAATATCAGAAATACTCGAAAAGAGGGTACACTACCTTGAGGATACCCTGAAAACATGAAAACTGAAAAATGAATAACTATGGAAATCTTTAAATTATTTATTTTTAAATTGCTCAAACTTGATGTAGGCTTCAGTTCAACAATTCTTAAAAAAAATTACTGTTTCTAAATAAGGGAAAAATTTACTTTTAGTACAAAATGTTCTAAAATTAACTTAATTTCTGATAACACTTAAAGTCCATATTGAAATATGAAACACATGTTCATCGACTCAAGAACTTATTATATATAAATTAGGATAGCAGTTGTCGCCTGCTAGATTTGTTCCGTTTTCTAGTGTTTACAGGGTATTTATGAAATAACAGAATTACAATTTCTGTTGAAAAGAGACGAACGCACAAGCATGCTGACAGACAAGTGCGTTGACGTCAACGTTGACGACGACTGCGACGGCGACTGCAAGTGCAACAGAGACTGGCAGTGACAAAAATAGCTAATATGACCGATGTGAATGCAACTGCAACTGCAGCATTGAGTGTAACTGCATTTGGGCATGAAAAGTGCGGTGCCGACAATTGGAAAAAAAAATGATTCCCGTGCAGATCAGACTGCTGACTCTGACTCTGAGTCTTGTGTGATTGCTGTTTGGTATTGAACAAATAATAATGCTAAAGCAACATCAGTAACAACAACAACAGTAACACACAATAACAACAATAATAAAAAAAAAGCAACAACAACAGTTGCTCATGTAGCTCATTAAGATGCGAAAGGCGTTGCTTGCTGCCTTTTAGAATTACTAATTGAATCGACGCGATCAGTGGCAATTGCAGCAGCGTTGGTTGCACGAGGAAAAAGACAAAAGAAAAACAAGAAAGTAAGTCTAACTAAGGCACTGCGAAGATTGCATACTCTTTGCAAAGTCGAGTCAATCCGCCAATCACTAATAACTAAAGAAGTTAAAATGCTCCAATTGTGTGAGCTCGATTAGGAGATAAAACTGAACTCAGTTGTTAGATAGTACGCTATAATAGAATTAGATAATTTGTAGTTCATCAACGAGATATCTTTAACTCAGTTCTCAATAGTACAGGGTATTTTATAATTGGGCAGTTACGAAACTAGAAAACTTTGTTGGCAATAAACGCCTACTTTGATAATTGCGCATGAAAATAAGATTTGTTTAACAACGTCAGCGTTCCTTATCTGATCTAAACAAACTATCTACAAGTATTCAACAATTTTGCGCGTATATTATATACATATTACTTTGAATATTAATTCAAAGGTATATTTTTATAACTGAGTTTTCTACAAATTTATCGGTAAAATTAAAATAAAACAAAATATTTGTTTCTGTTCCGATCTCAATAAAATTTCTATAATTGATTAAAAATATGTCTGCTTATATTAAATATCAATTAAGGCTATATCTTTTCAATTATGTATTTTATTGCTATCAAAAATTGATTTGTTTCGATATTCGTGGAAATCAAACATAAACTTGATCTGCTAATGGTAAACCAGAACTAATATTTCAACTTGAAAAAGTATCTAACTCTTCTAGTCTCTGAGATCGACTTGTGCATACAAACAGAAAGAAGGGTTAAATGGATAAATCGTCTCGTGATTTGATGCTGATCAAGAATATATATACCTTATGGAATAGAAGCCGTTTGCCTCAATGCGTTGCAAACCTCACAACAAAATTATAATTCCCTTTAAAGGATATAAATGACGGCAACCGGCTTCATTGTTTATTGTTGTTGCTGCTGTGAATGTTGTTGTTGTCGCTCTGAATGTTGTTGTTTGTCAATGTTGTTGTTGCTGTTTGGATTGTTGTTGTTGTCTGCAGCATCCGCTGAGCTGGGAATCTTTAGCAGGTACAAGTTACAAGCTGCATTTATTTAAAAGTCCAAATTAGAAACAAGCAGCAAACAGCAGTCAACAGTCAGCAAGGCTTTTCTGGAAGCCAAATAGATTTTGAAATATTTCTAATTGCATTTGCTAAAGTGTGAGTGCATACTTAATATGCATCCAGTGTTGCAAATGCCAACTCAGTGCAAACTCATGTCCGAACATAGAACATGCTGGTGGGCGCTGGCAACATGTTGCACGTCTTGTGGCAACATGCTTTTTCAATTACTGCCGCTGCATGTAAAATTTGTAGCATGCGTTTACATATTTACCTTAACACCTCGTTAATTTCGTGGTTTACCTACAACAATCACAACAACAACCTCAACAGCAACGCAGACATCGCTGGCGACGCTTGTTGTCCATGTTGCCTGACCGCATGACACTTGTTGCACGGTATTCTGCCTCAGCAACCTTTTCTGGTCGTCTCTCGGGTCTTTCTCTATATCCTGTAAATATTTGAAATGCCAAAAGAGGTATTCGTAAACTATTTTTAAAACATTGGACTTCGGAGCATATTTCCAAAAGAAAACCATTTGAACTACAGTTTAAATTATTAACATTATTCGAGCGAAAAATGTTATTGCCAATATTTATAAAATGTGGTTATAGAGCAATATTTATTATTATACATTTTTCGAGTTTTTTTTCGTATGAATCATAAAGACAATTTTCCTTTTTTGTATAATTTATTTCGGTCCTGGTTCAGAGTTTCATTTAGGATAAAGATTTCGAATCCGGCTCCAATTTGATTACCTAATTTTAAGACATTTGATCAAACAATTCTACATAGTGTTGAGCTCAAGCAGGACTTAAATGCATACCTTTAGATAGCTACGATTGCATTTCAGTTTACAGGCCAGTTACAAGTCGTTCACACTCGACTCGATTGAATTTATTGGTTTTTGTTATTGTTGAGATGATATCGTTGTTGTTGTTGCCTTTGTCGTCAAGTTATTCGCGCCCTAGTAAACTTTAATTAAATCACTATAATCCTAGCGGTGCCTGCTACTTCCTTTGCGGTTGGTTGCATGTTCATGTGGCGCCATCGATATTTATTTTTGATCTTTTACAGCCTTAATCTTTAGAGCTGCCACGTTCATCATTAACTTGTTTACGTTCAAATTTGCCATATAAGGTAGGTCCGATAAAAATGTGCATTCTACACACACACACACAGTCCGTGTTTGGCTCGACAGATCCATCAATATGGCAAATAACTATGCGCAACTGTCAGTTGAACTTTCCCAATGCAATGGCCGCAATTATAAAAAAATAAATAATAAACTATCCCACAGTCCAAATGTAATTGCAGACTTTCGCTAATAAAACCTTGTTACGATTTTGGCCAAGATTTATCGACGTAATGAAGACTAATTCGAGTGCCGGCTTGACAATTTATTTACTTAATGGAATTAAGTCGTCTTGGCGCCTGCGTGTAAATCTATCATTTGTTGGCGGTGATTAGACCAAGTTTTCAAAACGAGAAGTCATAATGCTAAAACAGGTTTAATATTTGTCGTAGTTGTTGTCGATGAGGACGCTCTGTGTGATGGGTTGTGGGTAACCAATTACACTTATGTGTCTATGCAACTGATTGATTGAGTGCACTTTAATCTGAATGCCATAACAAGTTGTTAACCAACTTACTTAGGCTTGAGACCTCATGCGAAACTTAAGACTGTTTGTGAATGCTCAAGAGACTAAAGACTATACTACAAAAATAATGCATAAAGTTTTGTTATTGAAGTTCTTGTTCTTTGCGAATGTCGATAAAAATTGATTTCAGAATGCAATTAACGGCACTATTATAGCCTCACAATTGTTATTATATAATATATATAATATAAAATATAATACACCCAGATGTTATATTGATCAAGTGTAAATTTAATCAATATCGAATATGAAACATACATTTTGTTAGCTAAAGCGCATTTTGATATTGAACAAACTACCGTCAGTTGAGTTCAGGTTATTTTTTTGTAATTTTGCCTGGGTAAGTCATCTTCCCCGGGCCTCACTGAGATTAGTACCTAGGTATTTATATAATTGTAAAGTGATTGTCAATTCCCTG